ATAATCCTTCCATCAACATGTTCCATGGCTTTCACGCAAGCCTTAATTCCTACAAAACCATAAAAAGGGACCAAGAAAAAAAGAAACTAAATAAAATAGTCAAGTGCAAACAAGAGATTAGTTAAAAGATTTACATGGAAAAAAGCTTAAAATGCTAATATTTGATTATAAATTTGTCATGATTAAAAAACATGTACTAACCGTTAATGCTCATTATCCACTTTCCCTCCAAAATTCCAATCAAAACCTTGAGGGTTGGTCAACAAGGTCCATTTTCATTTGTTGAAGTAATGTCTCTAAAAGTTCAAGGCATAAATGTTAGAATATATTGTTACCATGTATAAGAAAGAATATGCAAGTCATAAAGAATTGGTAATGAACAATTGGATAAAAACACCATAGCTATAAAACATCAAAAGAGAGAAGCAAATAAAACATCAAAGAGGGAAGCTTTGCTTTCCTTTTCGGCCAATTAAAAGATATAGATAATTCTCCATTACTGTAACTAGAGAACTTCTCAAATCAAGCTAGCAGACTCTTTACATTTTTCAACCAAAAAAAAATGTCTCATTATGGTATGAATTATTACATGATTTAATGAGAACTTGTTGTACTCGTGTTAAAAGTTCAAGAATTGCAACAGCCAAAAAAATGTATCCTTATGGTATGAATAACTATATAAAGTAATTAAACTTTTTTATGAAAAGAAATTGTAAAATATTAAGAAATAGAGTAAGCCAAAAAAATATATTATTATGGTATGAATAATTAAATAATTTAATGAGACTTTTTTATGAAATATATATATATATATATATATAGGTATAGATATAGATAGATAATAATAATATATATATATATATATATATATATAGATAGATATAGATTAATTAATAAAAACTTTTTTTAATAATAGCGTATATATATTATTTATAAATTAATGGCTTGAAATACCTTTACTCCTTGTTGTATTGTAGGAGAAAGTATTGGGCTGCCCGGTACATATATATACATATTACATACATATGCATAAACCCTGCCGCCAAGAAAAATAGAGGTGCAAGAGAATGGGAAGAAAGCTATTGAAGGTGACCAGTCAACTCTTTCATGTGAAATCATGTATAATATATTCTTGAAACTACCTGTCATATAAATTACGTACTTCTCTCTTTAATAATTTTACGCACTTATCTGTGAAGAAATAAATCTCTTTAATAATTTCACACGCTTCTCTGTGAAAGAAATAAAACTCCGATTATCAAACGCCGGCAAATAGTTCTTCAAATAACCCACCGGCAAATAGTGCTCTAAACAACCCATGACGTCTCATTCATCTAACCGCCGATCGGTGAACCTACGAACTCCACCACTGCTCATAATCACCGCAAATTGGAACCCAAAAGTACCGCAATCAAGATAATTAGCAGTGCCATACTTTTTGTTATTAAAACCTTAGAGGTTGATAAAAGATTAACTACAAAAAAACTCCAATTAGCAATTGGGAAAAAATTAAAAGAAAAAATTAAAAAAATTGTGGGTTTGTGTGCATGCGTGTCTATGCACAGGAAGTATTGTTTTGGTGTCGTTTAGGAAAAAAAAAAGTGAGAATAAAAATTAGTAGAAGAATTTAAAATTAGAAATCAAATTAATAAATTCATTCAACTTGCTTAATAAAAAATAAAATATAAATAAAAAAATCATTCAACTGCGTAGAGGCCAATTTGCAACATCCCAAAGGGTTTCGCCTAATGAGGTATTTCAATAATTGAGAATAAACAATAAAAAATAATTCAACTATAAAACCCTAGAGGTTAATCCAAATCAAATTAAAGAAAAAAAACTCCAAATCAAAAATAGGTAAAAATTAAAAACTAAAAGGAAAAATTAAAACTTTAGAGGTTTATATAATTCACCACACAAAACTCCAAATTAGTGATTGGAAAAAATTAAAACGAAAAAAATTGTGGGTGTGCGCGCGTGGGTGTGTGTTTGAGAGAGGGTAGTTACTGGATGTGCGTGATCTTTTTGATGTCGTCTCCTTTGTCCTTTGGCTCTTTTCACCGGATGTTAAATTAATTCAAATGGTATTTTATTTTAGGATAAATTACAATAACACCCATCGAGATTTGGTATAAAGACAAACAGATACAAATTAGTCTATTTTTGGACAATTACATCTCCTCAAGTTTAATAAAATTGATAAAGACAGCTTGACAATAATAAATTGACTTTATTACCCTTTAATATAAAATTGATAAATACAATTGACTTAAATACCCTTCAATCAAATAAGTTTAAATAGGTTCCCGGGTACAACCCATCTAAGAAATCTAATTTTCTCTCAAACCACCATACACCTAGACCGACCCCAAAGATTCGGCCGGCCACGACATCCACCAACCAGACCTATATATATATATATATATATATATATATATATATATATATGTAATGAGTGTGTATGGATAAAAACTTCATTTAAGAGTTTTCATATTTTATAATTTAAATTAAGATTAAGTGGAAAAATCACTCTTGTTATATATAAAATGTGCAATAAGCCCCTTCTCATTCAATAAACTCCCTTACATTTTTCAATTTGTGCAAATAAGAACTTTTGAAGAAATTGAACGATGAATTGAATGATGTACCTTACAATAAAATAAATTAAATAAATTAAATTTTTTATATAGACATATATGTTATACACAGTACATACGTGTGTGTGTGTGTGTAAATATATATATATATACCCCTCTGAATCACCAGCTTCTTCACTGCCACCATTAGCCGAACCATCGCCGCCAACGTCAATATTGCCACCATCGCATCTTCATTGCTACTCCTACAACTTCACCGCATGTATTGTTCTAGATTTTATTCAATCGCAACTCCATCGCTGAGCCAACGACTCTACCCCAAGTTCTCATCAACGCTGTCGCAACCCCATCGCAGAGCCGGCGACTCCTGGTAGCCTGTGCTTCAGCCTCCTATATATATGTAGTATATATATAGTCACCTCATCTCCACATATTTTTGTCATCTGTAATCTATTAAATTTTAGTAACTATATAAACAATGAATATAAAAAAAGCTGCAGTGTTTTCTGTACTCTTGTAAGCTGTTCTCTTCATTTTTTATTTTGTGCTTATAAAAATTTTGCACTCTTTAATTAATAAATTTATTGTTATTAGTTAGCAATGTGCACAATTATTTATTAGTGATGATAGATTTATAGTTATTAGTTAGTTGTCTTATACAAACTATACAGGAGCACAAATATTTATTGGTGGTGATAAAATTTATAGTTATTAGTTAGTTATTTTATGCATTACAGACGGACAATTATTTATTAGTGGTGATAAATTTATGATTATTAGCTAGTTGTCTTATGCACACTGTACAGACATTCAATTATTTATTGGTGGTGATAAATTTGTAATTATTAGTTAATTGTCTTATACACAATACACAGACGCACAATTATTTTAGTTATAGAATTTGAAAACATGGTGTGAAAATTTTGTACTCATATTAAAAAAAAATTTTCTTCCGATATGAGCTCAAACACACATAAGAAATCAACAAATCATTAGGCCTTTCATCTAACACAATTCTCTCGTCTTTAGAATGTTGATTAATGGCACACATTGATGGCATAATTGATGCACTCTGACGAATAAAGGTAAAATTTTAAGTTACGGAGTTCAAATGTGGTTTTAGACCTTGATAGATTAGTTTTGCCCATTCCAGCACCCGGAGTAAAAAAGAAAGAGGAAAAAAGGATTGTAAGGAGGTATGGCTGTTTATGTAATACACAGTGGAGTGATTCATTAATTTGTGGCCCAAATATGGCTGTTTACAAGCTAACATGGCTTGCTTCTGAATAAGATTAAAACCAAAAAAATAGGTAATTTCAAAAGGGCCCAACCGGGTTCGAACCGGTGACCTCTTGATCTGCAGTCAAATGCTCTACCACTGAGCTATGGACCCCTTGTTGTCTGCCATGGTTGACATTGATATATTTAAATATTTATTTCCCTAAAACAGATCACACTTTATGGATTATAGAAAATTAGAAATCTTTTCTAAATGTTAAGTAAGATGTATTTTTTTTACGAGAGGCGATGCAAAAGATTCAGTGTCCAGAATCACAAAAAAAAAAAAAAAAAAAAAAAAAAAGCACTGAAGAAAGTTCAGTTAATTTGTTTAATTTATCAATCAAAAGTTCGAAAAAATATATATATATCCATTAAAAGATGCCTACTTATTTTGGCAGATATCTTTGCATCCCAGTAAGCTTTGCCTAAGCTTTTACGCTCCTTTTTCAAGTAGACCCCTGAAATGGTACTGCGAAAGAGAATTATAGCCATTTTTTGGATGTCATTCACAATTCTCCAACTAAAAAAAAAAAAAAAAATTATACTTTCACTAAGCTCCGATCGCACGAGTGATACCCTACTGCGCATGCATAGAGATCATGTGCACCAAACCCCGTCGTTGTAGTGCATAGACACGAAGCTCATCACCCTCCTCTGCATGCATAGAGATCATGTGCACCAAACCACGTCGTTGTAGTGCATAGACACACGAAGCTCATCACGGGCCTTGTGTTGGGGTTTCGCAATAATCCCCATTGAGCCTATGTTGGAACTACACCACCACTCAGGAGAAGATCAAGGTCCCTTTATGCAAATGGCTGAGGGCACCAGTTCAGAATATCCTCATACTGCACTTGCTCAAATAGAAAACTTCCTCCTCCATTTGCGACCTTGCAAAAGCGAGTTTCACTTTTTGTATTTGGGATGCTAGTATTCAAGGGGGCATGAAAAGAAAATTTCAGAATAAACAACTTTGATGCGGTTTCTTTCCTAATTCATCCATAGAAATAAGTGTGTCATCTTAGTTTTACCACGAAGAAAGTATATTAAAAGCAATCAGAAATGCTAGCAAAGGTCAAACAAATAGGAAAAATGACCAAAAAAATGTACTAGACTTGAGGATTAGAAAAACTAAAATGGTTTAACAATCATTCAAAGAAAGATTTACAACTTTTACAGTTGATACAGTTTATCTATTTAAATCCCCCTCCCCCCATTAACAATATGGGGAGCTCCTAACAAGCATTTTTCATCCATGACAGCCAACAAGGGGAAAGAGAGAGAGAGAGTTCTTTGCTTGCTACGAATGGGGCCTTATGGAGGAGTTACATTTGCAGTCCGGAATGACTCCTTTGTTCTGCCATAATAGACTGATTTATTGCCAGGAAAAGTGATGAAATTCCAACCAAAAGCTGATCCTCCAATGACATATGTCCCGACAATCCGACCATCTTCGGATTGCCGCATCTCAGATATACTCCCCAACAGAACAGGCTTCTCTTCCGCTGCCTTGACGTTTTGGTGCGGTCCTCTGGTGTCTTTGCCATCCTGGACATCACTAGGTAAAGGCTGATCTTCTCGTGTCACATTCTTACACTTCTTGATCGTGATTGATTCTGCTGTCATCTCCTTGTATAGATCCATCAGAAGATTCATCTCTGCAAATTACAAAGTAAATGTATGTAAGGTGTAAGCCCATCTCAATATCTCATGAAATCAACATAACCAATGTCCATGTCTTTGCTTAACTATTAAAAGTCACGTGAGAGATTAATGGCTCCTTCCGCTGTTGGACACTTGGTACCATGCAAACATCAGTGCTAAAATGTTTTCAACCATGTAAAAATGAGATAATTGCAGGACTTAAAGGAGCAACCAGCTAACAATGCCACACAGGTTCCACACATGAGCTCTGGCGTGTGCATGCTTTCATGCCCCACGCAAGTAGTGAGAAGTTTACGTTCCACACAAGTGATCTATCTGCATAACATTTCTATGTATCCTTGGATCCTAGTGTCATGTTATTTATTGTTAAACGTTTATGGATATAGATGCTAAAATATATATTAGGTAGCATGGAGAAAAGATAAAAAAAAACAACAACAACAAATACATGTAATGTAAAATATGAATGCTGACCATAGGAATTAAAATAGAAGAAACCAAGAGTAAAAATTAAATATTGCAAGTAACAAATACAAATGAATAATAAAAAATTTCATAATCTTTTCCTAGAATTGAAAATGGATTTACAGTATGACCCCACATTTTGCTTTAAATCCAAACTGGATGGGTTAAGTACTAGAATGGACCATCTCAACAATGACACACAGAAGCTTAAGAAAACGTATCAAATTATTGGTATGGATGCCAGTATAAAACATGGATGTTAGACACATGTATCAGCCGCCAAAGGCAGTGTTAGGCATCAATTTCTCTGTCCAAGGCAGAATAAAGTAACAAGGTAAGAATGAAACACATCCTCACCTTTGGTATATCTAAGGCATGTGAGATTGTTACAAGCCATTCCAAGTGGGAGTTAAAATTTGTGCGAGCCAAGTATATATCCAAAAAGAACACATGCATTGCACATACAGTTACTTATTCAACTATGTGGAAGTCTAAATACATCTCAAAAAACTTACGTTCTCGAATTTCATGAGCTGCCTTGCAATTTTGGAAGTCAGGGGTCCGTAGAACCTTCAACATAACAAAAGAAAATTCAGGATCATTATACTTGATATCCCAAGTAAATGAAGAAATTGTAACATTAAAAGAATCTATTGAGAATCACTCATACCAACAGCATTAAATGTAACAACATTATAATATTCCTTAGAAATTACGACACTGCACCATTTTGTTAGTTGATTTCCTTTTTCCTTAAGATTGAAGAGCTCTTAAAAAAAATATTGTATTGGATTCTGTCAGGGGTCAGGTCCTTTTGATATTTTCAATGCCCCAATTCGTTTGAAAAAAGGAATCCAGATGTTCAACTTAGATTTCAAAAAGACACCCTGCATTGTGACTTTGTTGCAGTGTAAGTCACTTGCCCGTACTAATCCCCGGTTCATGTTGAATGCTCAAAACATGTTGACACTATGGAGTTCTTTATATAGAACATTATGTATCGATGGAAACTATATTTTCATTTATGGAATACCTATCCATTGACAAATTAGCTTTAAATGAAAGAATCCTGAAGTTCTATTTATGATTGTATCTTCAAAGAATAGCCCCCATTAGTCCACTACTTTAATCAACCTCCCTAATGCTCCATGTTGCCTAAAATTCCTAACCTAATTTTTTCAGCTATGAACCACAAGGTCCACTTCCTAACCTAAACAGCATCAAATTCCCACAAATGGGAATTCAAAAGTACACTTCCTAACCCACCCCCACCGCGATACAAACAAGTTTACAAGACAGAATCCAGATAATTTCAAGTACTAATAACTACAAAGATGATAGAGATTACTAAAAGACACTAAAAGGACATGTATGGAAGATGAGAAGCGGAAAGGAAGTGTTGTATAAATATATCATACCATCATACATTAACAAAAGAACCCTAGAAATAAATTCAGTTATATTTCCAACACATATCCCAAAAAAAATAGGACATAGCATATCAAGATTCTTCAAAAGAAAAACCCATACAGAACCCGCAAAAAGATCCAAATCAGTCAATAAATATTTCCACTTTTAGTGCCAATAGATATCAAGATCAGAACAAATAATAAGTGGAAATGGAGTGTTATATCATACCATCATCATACACTGACAAAAGAACTCTAAAATTAAATTCAGTTAAAATGCTAACACATACCCAAAAAAATGGGACAAGGCATATCAAGAATCATCAAAAGAAAAATCCATTAAAAACCCACTATAAGATCCAAATCAGTCAATCAAGATCCCACTTTTATTGCAAATAGATATCGAGATCAGAACAAATAAGAAGTGGAAATGAAGTGTTATATCATACTATCATCATGCATTAACAAAAAAAACCCTAGAAATAAAATTAACTTAAAATTCTCACACATAACCAAAAAAATGGGACAAGGCATATCAATAATCATCAAAATAAAAATAAAAAACCCATAAAGAACCCACTAAAAGATCCAAATCAGTCAATCAATATTTCAACTTTTACTGCGAAAATATTTCGAAATCAGAACAGAGGGAAGGGTTAAGTTACAGAGTTCAACAAGAAAAACCCAGAAACAGAATTAGAATAAATAGTGAAAAAGATCGAATTCTGAGTAGATATTCAAGTTTCTTGAACGGATTTGTACCGTACCTCGATGAAATGTGGTCGAAGGTCTTTGAGGACTGCTCGCATCTTGAAGTACTTGGAGTTCTGGAGGTTCGCATTGCTGTCGAGCGGTCTCTTCTTGTTCTTGGGTGGAACAGGAGGAGGAGGAGGATGGGGTGGGAGGTTTTGGGCTGTGTTTGACGGGTTTGGAATTGAGGGTTGAGTGGGTGGTGTGGTTTGAGGAGGTCTAGGTTCTTCCATGGATGTCGCTTTTCTTTTCTGGTATTCACAGAGAACTTACGAGGACTAGAAAGGACGGCTGATTTATGCGAGACTTCTTGGAGCACTTGCGAACCAGTAAGACTTGAAAGGAATTTAGGAAGTGTTTGGTTACAAGTGCAACTGAAAATTTTAGGTTGTCCCAAGTTAAATCATTCTTATTTTTCTTCCACCGACCAACAATAGCTAATAATAAATGATTTTAAAATAAAAAAATAATAAAACGACAAAACGATTTAAAACTATCAAATGTAAAGATTAACTCCCTCTGTCCCATCTACCGTGGGATGGAGGGGGTATTTATTTTATACGATATCGTAAGAGTATAACAGAATGAATAAAGAAAATTTATGTGACTGATTTATTCAATTAAAAATATATATATATAAAACTTACTATGATTGTGATAGTTGATGAATAATAATCGCACTATCATAAATGGGTTGACTTGTTTTAATTTTTATTGAATGTGTATTTTGCATGATGTAAAAGGAATCGTGAATGGATTGAAATATTTTGACTTTTATTGAATTTCTACATTATGTAAAAGAAATTAGTGGGGGCAAAAAATTGGCAAGTGACAAGTCCATTTGAACGTTGAACCATCTCTTTGACAGCTTAAAAATTTATTGTTCAGAAATGTCAAAAAGATCATCAGATGAAATGCTAGGAAGAATTTGAGTTTTTAACACCTTGAGTTCCATTGGTCTACCTAGTACAATCTACATGAGAAAAGTTATTGGCAGGGCAATTTGCAATTATCCATATAAAAAAAAAAAAAAAAAAAATGTCCATAATTTTTTATATACTTGAAAATTTTCTCTAGATAACAAAACCAGCATGAAGATGCAGATTCTCTCTGCAATTGTCAAGGATATGCAGTGTTGGCTTATCCATTCAGGTAAGCTTTTATAATTTTTGTTCATTTATATTTCTTCAATAAGACAGAATGAGAAGGTGGCACTTGAAGAAAATCAGCCTTTAGCAATGAGGCTGTTGGATGTAAAAAAAATTTCAAGAAATTTTTTTTTTTTTTTTTTTTTTTTTTGATATTTAGTTGTTGTAAAATATTTACAAAGAAAAAAAATATATATAATCTAACAAAAAAAAAAAAAAAACTTGTCAATCAATTTTCGACAAGTTATTTTACACAATGAGGAATGCCAAGAACAGTCGCTCTCCTCATTATGCAATTGTCTTTTCACAGTCGCTCTTTTCATTGTCTATTTTAAGTCTCATTAATTATTCTTTCTCTATTCTCAAGAAACGTGAAAAATATAACTTATTTTAAAAAAAAAAAAATTCACCTTTTAAAGACAAAATTACCTTTAAATCATTTTTCATTAGTTTCTCCTCCCTCAATCCATATACGTGTAGTATATATATATATATTTTTTATTGCCTTTATTTCTTTCCTTTTTATTTCAATTGTCGCCACTAGTTATTTTTTTCCTTTTTTTTTTTTTATTTCCCTTTTTTTTTTTTGGTCAAAATTGTTGCCATTAGCCTACTTAAAGTAACCAATTTTGAAAATACAAGAGTAATTAATGAAACTTATGTTTTCCAGTATAGCAATGGAGGAAGCAACATTTCTTGGATCCACAGCTATTCCAATGAATCTTATTCAAGAATTTTAAGGCCCAGCAGCAGTTGAAGGGTTCTGCTAAGGCAATTCAACATTATATCCAGAATGCTGGTGAGATGCACAAAGTAAAATTCATGTTAAACATTGCAGGGCATAACTAAGGTCAGTATAATTCTATGTTCTTGAATGGGGACGATGCTTCCTCAAATATCCGAAAAATACCACGTAGGTATTTTGATGGTCAAGAGACGCTCTCTCTCACACATCTTCTCGAGCAGAGGAAGGAATGGAATATAGAAAGAGCTCCGTCCATAGCCAACAGCATTTCCTCTCTTCCTGGCTGAAGCCAACAGGATCCCTGTTAAAAACACAATCGTCGTCTAAATTAAACCTGATTCGTTTAGTTCTAAGAATATTTTCTTCTCTCTACAAGGATCCAATCCGTTCATCAAAAATATCCTTCCAGCAAAACACTCCGGCTTGAGATCCCTGATGTTAGATTCTTCAATTTTATCCTTTGCCCCAGATTCTCTAATGCCAAGGGCAGCTTCTCTTCCTTGATTCCGTCCCATACTGGCAACACTTCCACAACCACCTTCTGCAATAAATTTTGCTCAAAACCCTCCATGAGAATCTCTTCAAAATCGACAGTGTTCCCCCTTAAATCCAGCAAAACACTGCACAGTCCTTGACTCTTGCAATATTCCAGAATGGTTTCCAAATTTATCCCATCCAAAACCACGGTTTCAATGCTCTTTTGAGCGGATTCTGGTTCCAAAGACGTCTCTCTGTCGGTGAAGATTATTACCTTAGAAGTTGCCTTTGGGATTTGAATTTGTGAACTAGGATTTCTTGCTATTAGAATCTGAAGAGGTTGATTAGCTCCAGGTTCGTTGGATGCTGGGAATGAGAACTTCTCGGTAAATGAGGTGGGGGAAAGTATAATTGCATCATATTCTTGCAACAGTTGTGAGTAGTATCCACCGGACCTCACAGCTTCTTCCCCGAGCTGATCTGAAAAATGGCCATTGACTGAAAGGGAGTATCTGCAGGTCAGTGAGAGAACATCAATTAAGTGTACTAATCCTACTTAAAATACACACCATTTTTTAAATTCTAAATCATGAATTTTACCATTTTTATAGATGAGTAAAAATAGGCAAAATTTCACCATTGAAAGTCCATATAATATGTTTACTAGAGAATAAAGTCAATCAGTATTCTTCTGGCAAGTAAGTCACAAACACATTAACAATAGATAAATCAACTATAATATATGGACTATGAAGCTAACCATGACATAGGAATGGAACCAATGAATGAACATGAATAGAAGTGATATTAAACCAAAGAGCTCCTACTAAATTGGAAATGATAATTTTACCTGAGCGTAACATAGGGCTTTCCTGTCAGCATCTTATGGATATAGGGTTCATTAAGCTTCTTGCACAATTCTTCCTCGACACCCACAGTCACATCAATTCCTGAACCTCGTAATTTATCGACCCCCTTTGATGCCACAATTGGGTTTGGATCCACCATCCCTATCACCACCTTTTTCACTTTGGCTTTGATCAGTGATTCAGTGCACGGTGGAGTCCTCCCATAATGGTTACATGGCTCCAAGCTCACATATGCTGTTGCATTCTCAGCCAAATCCCCTGCGTCTCTCAGAGCAAAAACCTGCAGAATTTCACCTCCTAATTTAAATAATTCAGTAGAAACTGTATATGAAAAACTAGAGTCGCATCCCTCACCTCCCTAGAAATTCCTTTGTCACTAAAACTTAGATGTTGGAAAAATACCAGTTCCATAGACCAACTGACCAAAAAAAAAGAAGTAAAACTTCCTTTATCGAGCAAATTTTTGTTTTTTTTTTTTCAGGCAATGAGAACAATATTGATTAACAAAGAGGTTACAATCCAAAGCAGCTGCAGAAACAATAGAAGGGGGAATGCGCTGCAACAACCTAAAACCCTTCTCTACTGATGGAACCATGGGCAACAAACAGTATTTGCATTCCTATACACAAAATCAAAGGAAAATGTTGATTCCCCCTCTAAAATGCTACTCTCAACATCTAAATGTTATTTCTTCATCCTTTGTGTTCTTTTAAACAAAATCAACCAATTCAACATTTAAAATTTACATGAACATGATACAATTCACATAGAAATAATCAATTATTATAATCATTAACCAATTAAGCATTAAACATTAAATATTAGAGTCATGTGTAAATTGCATTTTGGATATATAAACTAACAATTCGAAAAATACAATACACATTGTTAGAAATGCTTCTCCAAAAAAAAATCATTTTTGAGCAACAAATCTGGATTTACCTCAGCATGAGGCTGCCCTGCTTTTGGGTGGAAACCTTCACCAACAATCTTCCCATCTTTCACAATTACACATCCAACCATTGGATTAGGGCTGGTACACCCAATTGCTTTCCTTGCAAGCTCCACACACCTCCTCATGTAAACCCCATCATCAATTTGACCTTCACATCTCACACCAACCATACCACCATGACTTCTCAAACCAGTCGGTGATTTATACACCCTTTTGACCAAATTGCAAAACCCAGGTTTGAAGCTTGAGGTGGAAACGAGTTTGGTCTGTTTGGGGATGAAGAAATAGGCAGAAGGTGAGAAATTTATTGGGCTGAGACTGTAGTTTGAAAATGAGAATGTTTGAAGATGCATTCTTTTGAAATTTGATTGAGACCCAGTTGAGAATAATGATAAATCTTCCGCCCTGGAAATTCTTTAACGTCTCTTTCTCTCTCCTCGCTCTCAATATTCTCTCTCTATCCTCTCCCACACCACCCCACCTACACGGCTTTTCAATTAACAGACTGTTGTCATAACAATCAAGCATATATATACTTTTCTATAGATATTTGGATAAATACAAACTCAGACAACCAAATCCAAGTGAAAATATGACGGAAGAAAATCGGTCTATGAACAATAGCAAACCAAGGAAAGAATTGTTCATGGGCAGAGGAGTGAATGTGAAGAGCAAAACCCTAGGCCGGCAAATAAACTCAGGTAAATTGCATTGACACCCTGAGGTTTTGGTCAATGCCACTCAGCGTACCAACAATGGTTTTTTTTTACATTAAGCCCCCCTAAGGTTTAAAAAATGTGTACTGACATGAAATTAACTTTTAACCCTTTAACTTGTCAATAACTCCATTTAAATTATAAAATTACAAATTTAACCTCCTAACTAAATTTAGTAGATTTAATTAACTTCTTAAACTCTTCTATACATATAAAGATGGTTTATATATAATAATACTTGTACTGTCATAACCACCACCACAATATAAAAAATAAAAAATTAAATTAAATTAAATGTATTTTTTAAATAGTTAGATAATTGTACACCACCATAACCACCACCACAACATAAAAATAAAAAATAATAATATATTTTTTTTTAAATAGTCAGATAATTATACATCAGCATAACCACCACCACCACACCCAAATACTGTAGTACAAAAAAAAAAAAAAATTGAAAACAGCCATAGCCAACCTATAATTATATGTTCCAAATACCACCAAAACCACCACCATACTAAGTGTTACAGGGCTAAATCCGTCAAGGGGCTAACACTAAGATAATATCACCAACACACCCAGACTCTACCAAAACCACCACCATAATAGAAAAAATAAAAATAAAAATTTTGAAACACCTGATAATCTAGATACCACCACAACCATACCACAACAACCACCACCAGAGTAAAAAAAAAAAAAATTGTTCAAGATCGGGAAGAGAGAGAGAGAGGGAGTGTCGGGGCTAGGTACTAATGAATCCAAAAAAAAACCGAGAGAGTTAAAGATTATGATAAAGAGGTTTAATGATAAGAGTAGATTTGCCAATTAGTATGACTGATCTTTTGTAAATTAATTGAATTAAATAATTAAGGACAAATATGACATTTGAAACCACATGCATGTTACCCCCCTAAAAAAAAAAACATGAGTCAAATGTGGTCCCTTTCACTAAAAAAAAAAAAATAGAAATCCCTAACAAATAGATTAGAGTGATCCATCATTTTTCATAAAATTTTGAACAGAAAATTCAGCTCTCTTCAAGTTCCAAACTTTATGGGAAAAAAAAAATAATTAAAAATTTAAAAAGAAAAAGCTTTGTATATGAAAAAATGAAAATAGTACGAAATTATGTAGTTGATAGTCAAAACTGCTATCATAAAACTGAATCAAACACACTATTATTACTTTCAAAGATATAATTTGATTTTATGGAAATATTACCAAATTGGTGGTTATTATTCACAGGCTCAGAGCGTTTTCATAAAACTATATCAAACATGTATTATTACTTTCAAAGAGAGATTTTGATTTTATGGAAATATTACCAAATGGGTGGTAATTATTCAGAACAGAGAGTTTTACAATGCACAGCATGTATTTGAAGCTTGAAATTTGAAATCAAGTTTTGGCAATACTAATAATTCATTTTGAAGAGAGATTTTTGATGCTAGAACATTGATATAATATGTTCTTCGAAACTCTAATAATCTACCATGATAACATCACTCCCTTTTCTGAAGCCAACTTCAATTGTCAATATTTTTTATTTTATTTTATTTTATTTATTTTTTATTTTTTTACATAAACTTGAATCATCAAACTTTTACTTAGAAAGTGAGAAATTATCGCTAAATTACAACCTTCGGTGATAAATCTATAAAGTTCCAAATACATTAACTTGGGCAAATGTATCATAAATGTTATTTATATAACAATTCAAGGATTGGAAGTGAAACAAAAAGATGTACCATTCTTATTGATACATACAAGAATGATACAAATTCTTGCACTGCAAACTCCAAACAAAAAGATGCGTACCCTTCTTATTTATACATACAAGAATGATACAAAGTCTTGCCCTGCAAACTCCATGAAAAAGCATTCACTGCCATAGCTCATAGCTTAATCAATATCACCATTGTTGTCTATCATTGGGTGCAAAGCCCTAATATCACCAAAGAAGTGCTTCTTAGACAAATTCAACTTCTACACCAACTCCCAAGCCTTGCTTAGCATTTTAAACAGGTTCATCAGTCTCTGTCTCTGAAAAACACATGGAATATAAAAGGAAAAGTACAGATCAAGTATAAACATTGCTATAAACTTGTCTGTCTTATAAAATAGCACAACTACAGCAGGCTCCTATTCCTTTCTTGTATTGCAGACTCTCTTGGATATTCTCCAGCTGTAAAATTATATCTTCAAATGAAGGTCGGCAGTCTGGATTCTTATGCCAGCACTCTCGAAGAAGCCTGCAACCAGAATCATGACCATCATACAAAGCATATATTTATTTGTATACTAAAAGTCATCAATGAAGAAATCAATATTTTTAATATCTAATTAATCCTTTTCAAAATTCAAATAATCAAAGTACTTGTACTAGAACTGAATGGATAAGAACGAGGAAGGCATTCATTGGGGTAAACCACATTTTAAATGATGCGTTCGTGTTTGGTTGAAGAGGGTGTGCCTCGAACAATTTCACTAAACAACTTCCATTAAGCACCAGAATTCAGTATAAATTTCACTTGGAGACAAAGTAATCAATTTTGGAAGATACAGTTGAAGCGATTATGGGAAAAATGTCCTCAGTAGACCATAGACATATTACATTCCAATACCACTATATTCTTTTTTTCTTTTTCTTGTTTATCAGCCAAAGCCACTATATTTGCCTTACTTGTTTTTTCTCAGAATAATAACTTAGAACGAGGCAACTATTTGTAAGCAGGTACGGTTTATATTTGGGTGTAATAATTGCAACTATTCATAAAATGTCAGTCTTATAACTATCCACTGTGGTAAACAAGTGCAGTAGCCTTAGAAAATATAGTTGCTTACATCTTGATTGGCTCGGGGTAAACATATGAAGAGAGAGGAGGTCGGGAATCTTCATATGCTCGCTTGTCTGCAACTTTCTCTGGAGATTCTGCAATATTTGATGGTCTCCCTTGGAACATCTGTGGAAGAAACACAATTACTTGCGACATACAAAATACTCTTCAGCTTAATTTGCCATTTAATGTTAATGCAACGAATTCTAGATAATAAGCAGATCTAACAAACGTTTCACGAATAAGACTTTCTAAGCTCAGAAAATTTATCACAGACTACAACAGATTCAACTAAAATTACCTCATGTACTATTAGGGCAAAGGAAAAGACATCAACACTCTTCCCATATGATTCACGGCGATAAACCTCAGGAGCCATGTAACGAACTGATAAATGTCATACTAGCGTCAGAGCACATACTGAAATTTTAGAAATGCAAACTTTTAGCAAAGTTGGCTGAACATACATGATCCTGTCCCCCCAGTCATTTTATAACCTCGAGTATCTTTTTTCTCTGCAACTTTGCTCAAGCCAAAATCCGTGACTTTAAGGTGTCCTGCTTCATCTTGCAATACATTTCTGTGAGAGTTGCACAAAACAAGGAAAACTGTCAGGAACCTTGGGATAGATAGACAGCATGAAAAAGGACAGCAGGAAATTCATATCATCTAACCTATTAATATATCCTAAATTATTGCAAATACCTTGGGGTCAAATCTCGGTGTATTATAGCGTGAGGTTTATGCTGATGCAGATAATTCATACCTCTGCAAGCAAATAGCCAATTAAAACATGAATGATCCAAATAATGTCCAAGTAACAGTATCATCTACCCCATACACACACAAAATATATATATATATATATATATATATATATATATATATATATATTTATATATATACATATAAAATATAAAATTAACACTGTTATTCACCGAGTACCTATAAATAAGAGGGACGGGAGTATGTTTTCCGTATCGGTTTAGAAGAACTCATATCATAATTACTAAGTAATATGTATTTAATATAAACTATTTGATATTTACTTGTCTGTCGTAGGGGTGAAAGTCAAACTGCTGTGCACCTGGAGACAATTTGAAGGATTAAAGCAAGAACTTATCTCTAATAGTTTCCAGAAATCTAATGTCCTTGTCATGGGATAACCAGTCGTCTATAGAGCTTATGATGCTACAAGCTCATTCTCATATTCAATTCTAATTGGACCACAAGCATGTTCATCTTCGCTTAAATGCTTGAAAATTGCATTTTCACTTTTAGATAAAATGTCTCTGGTTCAGCTGGCATTATATCAATACCTAAACAATTTAGATTAAAATATGTATGATAGGGGAGAAAGAAAATCATTACATCCATTGACATAATTCAGCTTTGTATAGGAAAGAGGAATTTGTCATAAAAATGCTTGCTCACTGAAGTACGCTTCTACAAAGATTTCTGCCAATAGAAATATTTTCAATTGAGTGCATATATTAGAAAATATACCTTGCAATATCTAAGGCATAAGCAACAGCTGTCAATGAATCAATTCTTCCTTTCTTTCTCATAACATCATACAAACTTCCCTAGCATTTCAATAAAAGGAGACATCAGCGTATTAAACTCCAAATAATAACTTATAAGACAAACTCACATTGCCGCAATATTCAGTAAGAAAGATCAAGCGGTCAGAGTCCTTTAAAACACCAAGGAACTGCACTATATTGGGGTGGCGCAACTTTTGCCACAAAGCCAGTTCCTTCAAGAAACTTTTCCTGTAAAAGAATGGGCTCATAAATAAAGAACAATAAATAAAAGATGAAAGTTACCAGTACAATGTAGTTCTGATTCAAAATGTAATCAAAACAAAAGCAGTTGCACTAAAACTTTCATTTATTTCTTAAAAAAGTAAGCTTTATATAAAATGCTTCTACATTATCGGGAATAAAAAACTAGAACTATTAGTAAGAACATAAATGAAAAAATCCTTTTGAAAATACCATTCAGAAAGCTTTATGAATTTGACTCTTCGTGCTTAAGTTTGTTAGGAACTGTGTCTCAAATTCCTAGTCTAATTAGATTACTATTTTAGAATTGTATTTTGTTAAGTAATTTCTTGTTAGACAAGTCTTGGCCTCCAAGGAATTGGGTTTAGGATTTTATAAATAGGTACCTAGGTTATGAGTTGAGACTTACGAGATTGAGAGAGATGTAGGGGAAGTTGATTGGGTGTGTGAGGGTTCCAAATCCTCTACCTCACACATCCTGTAGAGATGTGGTTTATGGAATGGCAGAGTAGAAAAAAACAAAGGTGAGACAGGCTCGTTGGTGGTACATTGTGAAAAGGCATGTGCACGATGGTGGTATTCTATCGTTGTAGTAACTCTATGCATTATAGTGAAATCTCTTCCATCTGTGGACGTAGGCTAATTTGTGCCAAACCACGTTATATCTTGTATTTGTGTGTGATTGCTTTAGTATCTTTTATGGGATCTTGATGTGCAAGTGCTTCCGCTGTCACAACAAAGTTTTCACTCATTTATGTGTTTGACCTATGAAGAAAAATCAAACAGTTGATGATTTCTTCGGTATTACAGTTAGAGTTCACACATTTTATCTCTCAATATTACTTTTCTAAAGTTACTAAAAATACAAAATATAATCCTATGCATCAGATGTAAGTGTGATACAATGGGAAAGCTTCAATTTTTGAACCACAAGAAAACTATCCAAATATCGAAAAAATATGAAAGCAAGTTAGAAATATAAGATGACACTCACTTCACCATCTGGTCTGACGCAATGGAAGAACGAATTGTTTTTGCAGCAACTTCTGTACCACGCCACCTCACTAAATAAACTTCACCGAATGTACCCTGTTGGTTAATTAAAAGAAGACCAGTAAAGAAGGTTGAATGTCTCAAATGAGCGCCTTTTGCGTAAAGGTTTAGGTGGTCTCACAATAAATATTTGCCTTCATGAAAGAGAAATTACTTCTCCAATAGGAGTTGCAACATTCATGTCCACTTCCTGGTGATCAATTTCATAACATGGATTCTGGGAGTCAAGACCCACCTGTCCCAAGAAAATGGATAAGTATATAATTAATACCTACTGAAAAAAAGTAAGTCGACGCTGATTATCACAAAGAAGAACCAAACTTGACACTTTCAAATGTGCAATTAACAAGACTTTGACAATTAAAAACTCAATTCCTATTGCAACTACACAGAATATTTGATTGAAAAGGCAATTCTCAGTTGGATTTTGTTTCACACTAATTCAAAAGGCATGATTAACTCATTTATCAATGCTCACTTCATGGCAATAACTCTAGAAAGGTACCCAGAATATCAACCTGAAAGGCTCAGCAACTGGTGTATGCACAGAATTGAACATAATGCCTTTGGGCTCCCATCAATTCGATATCCAATAAGTTATTAATAATGTTTCTTACATAACTAAACTATAAAATAATAACATTAATTTTAGACCTTTAAATGTTAAAAAATAGTTCCTTATAATAATAACAAAAAAAATCGAGCACTTTATTGACCTCCAATTGGATCAATTTTAGGTAAGATTATTTGCATGCAACACAGTTCCTTGTGACTTTTCTATACCTATCTGTTGAAACTAAATAGACATAAGATTTATTACAGCATTTGACCAACTATTACCAAGTTCCATGTCAAGAATCTTTAAATTTTAAAACAAATCTCTCACTGAAAAGGGCAGTAAAAGGCTTAAATTTTAATATGAAGGCACCTGGTATTTTACATAAGTAACCCTATAGATAAAAACACCAATTGTTGCATGATAAAGAATATGATTTATGAATAAATTTGTTCTTTTAAACAGTAAATTAGAGGGAATGTTCCTTGATTAAAATCAGAATGTATCCGTATTGGCAACAAGTGTAAGGCTGAACTCACATTTTAGGGCCTGTCTGGTTCGTGTTTTGTTTTTTGTGTTTTTGTTGTTGTTGGTACTGTAGCAATGAACAGTGGAAAATGTGTTTGGTAAAAAATATTTTGTTTTGCATAGTGCTGAAATGTTTCGTGAATAGTGACCAAAAATCGAAACACCAATTTAGTGTTTTTATGTGTTTCAGCACTATAACAACGGGTATTGTAGCGATGAACAGTAAAATTTTCTGAAAATTTCTTAAATGACATTTTTAAACTAACCATTATATTTTTCAAACTTGCAACACTTTTTACCAAACATATCTTCATGTTTTTTTTCTTCCTAAAATATTGCAACAAATGACGTTACCAAACATGCTTCCGATTGCTATTCAAAACTCTCTACAACATAACACTTGTTTTATTTCGGAAACAAAACGCAAACCAAACAGAGCCTTAGTATTTCACTAACATCACTAAAGTCCTTCCTTTGTTTAAAAACCACATTTATATTCAAGAAGTCACTGAAACTTCAATATAATCAGCCACTGACACTGTGACATGGAAGTCTTTAATAAGGTATGCTATAAACATTTCATCTAACCTTCTAATGTTAATAAACAAATCACAGCTAAGACCCTTGTAATCCTGACATAGACCACCCACTTTCAGATATCCATGTGATCATTCAATGCATTAGGGGAAAAAAATTATAGAACTAAAAGTAGAAAAGGTCACTCCACTTCTATCTGTCTTCTCATTCATTTCAGTTTTTTCAGTAGGGAAAAGGGCTTTAAGATTTTAATTGAATTCCCCACATAATCAAGCTGTGCAATGATATTTGATGAGCTTTTTGGCCGCACATGCATAAACAATTCAAAACAAAATGTGAATGAAAGTATACTCAAGGAGTAAGAGCATTTTTCGTTGCATACAGATACATAGACACAAAGGGTTAAATAAATAAATTTAGATGTTGGGAAAGTAAACTACCGGATCAGTTCCACCATGTGCCTCCAAAATTTTGCAGATTTCCTCGTGGCCAGCGGTACGAGCATCTGATAGTGGCTGCAAGTAATATTGTCAGACAAACTAAAAAACCAAGGGATCAAATCAAGGGATCATGTTCATGTCCTCTATAAGAGAACAGAAAATAAAATTACTCATTTGGAAACAAAATGGACATTTTAAAGGGCGATTTATTGTTTTTCATTCTTGTCACTTTTGTTCCTGAAATTTTTTATCATGAAAAACTACAAATATACTTTTCAGATCATTTTAATTTTCAAATGGACAAGAGTTTCGAAATAAAACTTCTTTTAGTGAGAATGGGTCATTTTCAAGTAATCATAAACAGTTTCTGAAAACATTTACCAGAGGTTCCCATTTAAAATCATTCTAACCTTTTTTCTTTTCTAAAAACCAATTTCGAAAAATTATAACAATATGGTCCTAAACTTCTGCACAATTGCAATGCCAAAAACCAGTGAAATAAGGTTTGTGGCCCATTGAGATACTTAATTGGATTGGTAGGAGTTATTGAGTATTGAATCAACAAATTAGGTCAAGAAACATAAGTAAAATTATAAGGAACGATACTATACAATAAATCATGGCATCCATACGTCTCTACATACATACAGATAGACGGATGGACTTATGCATTGAATAACTAATTTAAAATTTTATGTTAATCATTAAAAATCTACAAGGAGAAAAACTCAAAGCATTTGATCTTTTAATCCAGCCGTTTATGTTTTGGGATGAGGTAAAGATCAGTGAAGGTAATAGTTGTACAAGAAAACAAGGTGTGGTTCCTTCTCATACTTTGTTTTGACTTTTCTTTTCCCTTTATTTCTTGTTTTCTCCAGCTTCCCTCTTTGCTTTTCACTTAACAAGTGAAAAGTTGTAAAATCAATTACTGCAAATTTGATATTTGTAGTGACCATGGAATGATATTTAGTGGGCCAGAGAATATACAGCAGAATAGCAAAAAATGATCAATCATGTGACAGTGTGACACAGAAACACCACACTTTCATTTTTCTAGATAAAAAGAAAAGCTAGAATGCCAATACTGTACAATTGCCAACAGTGACAGTCTTAGCACATACATCCATCTCGGGACAAATACACTACCAATTAAAATATATGTCAATATCTTCTAACACAAAATGTTGGTTCACTATCGTCATAATACCAATCTTATGATATTCAACGATCAAATATCAACATGAACTTACAGTGCGACCCCAGCGATCCGTGGAGTTCACATCAGCTCCTTTCTCAAGAAGTAGGACAATAATCTCAGTGCAACCTTCACAGGATGCTAAATGAAGTGCTGTTCTCTGATCATAGTCCCCCAGATTAGGCTCTACTCCTTTCTCTAACTCTTGCATCACACCCCCTTTGTCACCTTTACTTGAACAGTGTAGAAGACGGTATGGACCCTCTGAGTCAATCCTTTGCTGATCCATTCGCTGCAGGAAAATCTCAACTTTCTTAGATTGTATAGTAAAACAAGACTGACTATATACACGTGGTAAAATCAGAGAATCATTCTGCGATCAAGTAGTGTCTCAGGGAGTACTCTCCTCAAAAGAGTATTGTGCATCAGACAATCTGCAAAGTTGAAGAATCAGGCTAATGCATACATGCTTGCACACACACACAAAGATGATATCCAAAACCCCACAAAGAAGGAAGAAGAGTAGCAAAGATTATGCAGCAGATTAATGTCATTTACATACTCAACACTTGTTGCATTGTTATGGACATTATGAGTACCTCTGAAAATCTCTAGAATTGCTTTGCAAATATCAAAACATTATGTTTAGTTTGTTGATGCAGCCAAAGTTACGTGATTATATTTCAATTGAAAAGGCAGGTGAGCTCTTAGATGAATCACAGTTACATAGTTAAGGAATTTGCCCTTGAAATGGAGTTATGACATGTAGCAATTACAGAATTCTCGAGTAAATTATAGATTAAAAAGGCATTTTTCCCAAAACTTAGGACATGTTTGGGGGCGTTTCGCAAGCACGTGGAGGTTAAAAATGATGATCACAATGAAGCTAAGAAAATGGAGCTTTAAACACAACTGAGGATTGGGATCACTGTCAGGCTTTCTTAAGCTAGCATTATTCCAGTTTCCACCGACATTCATTAGATGCTAACCATATTTAGCGACCCATCCAGGATTTATTTATATGCAGTGTAGAACGAAATGCAAAAAACTTCGAAGCATCACCCCGTAACAAGGAGCCATAGACCCCTAAAATAGTTGGTTTCAATTGGTTATGTACCATCCTTGGTCACTTGATCAGTGTATACCTTCAAACTCTTTACAGTCTTCTCCTCTATATCAGAATCCATTACGTAGGGGAAATACTTAAAAGATTACCATTTCTAAATAAAGCCATTTATAAAAATGACAAGCCAGATATATATAAAAAAGAAATAAGCAAATTGGCCCTCCACGCCTAACCAAAGGAACAACATATACTGAAATCACAACTTTGTTGGTAAATTACACTCCCATGTTCCTGAGAAAACTATGACCCCCATGTTCCAAATGAAAAGTTTAGTACTTGCCCGTGCGGCACATATGCACACAACAATTCAAAAACAACATAGATCCAAGTAGTGCTATTATGATATTATCACCAACATATCAAGCTAACAGACACAAGAAAACAAGTAACAAAAACACCAACATCCCATTGTTATATCTCTTTGAAAGAACTCCAACAGTGAGAATGACATTTTCAGGCAAATATGATTATTCTATTAACCCAATTGAATACAGGAATTCAATGCTACACATCAATGTTTCAAACTACAGCACTTCAAAATTGTGAAAAAATACACACACACATATATATATAAACAGACAATTTGTTCGGTAAATTATGAATTAACACAGGCATATATACAAATAAGAAAAAGGGTTACCTTGGAAGGTGGCGATGGAGGTTTGCAAGCTTCCATGAATCAAAGAATGAGACCCCAAACAAAGGATAACTGAAATCAAGACAACGAGGGCAAAAAAGTAGTAGTGAAAATATATGACATTGAAGGGAACATATGGATTGTACTTCGATTTCCAAACATTGAAAGCTTATTTTGGATGTTGAAATTACAGTTAATATGTGACAAATATCCAAAGGGTCTCCTTCATTCGGAGTGGCCAAGGTCACGCCTTTGTTTGGTAGCATTATTCAAACGGTAAAATTGAAACCTTGTGGTCTTCGCCAGAGTGATTTTTGGAACTAACGGTTCACAGTAGGAGGCGGATGAGTTGCGATCTCGCCAAGGCAGAGTTTGATGGAGACAAAGGAAGATAAGGGACGAAGATATAAACATATATATATATAGGCACACACGCACACACATGTAGATTGCATTCAGACGATTTCGTTTCCTAACAACGCATTGGAGCATACAGATGTTGATATATAGTATATGTTGCTCATTTCCTCTGTATAATATATGTGTGTGAACTCGTCTATCCTGCTGGCTCGAGCTCATAGTAGATCTTTCACACGCATATGCACACAGTGGAATAAGAGAGGGAAATGATATTAATAAGGACCATCGAAAAATTTCTCATTAATTATAGTCTTTAGTTGGATTTGAAATAATAATAATAATAATAATAACAATAACAATAACAATAACAATTTATTTATTCATTTTATTTTATTAATTATTCTTTCAATTAAATGCTTACCTCATTCAGAATTACAATCATACCAGTTTAATTTCCTCTGACAGCCATCTTTTAAATTTATAAAATAAAATATCTAAATCACCCTTCATTGTTTTAATTGCATTTTTATCCTTATTTTGTTAGACGATTGTACCCTCCCTCAAATTCCATGAGCGTCCACACGCAATTGCCGCTAATACAGGCAACTCCACCACATCCATAACCACAAAATCACTAGATCAGGAACCCATCAACAACCATATCCGTTAGCACACAAACCCTCTAAAGACTCAATACTCCAAATGAACTCAAAACCATCTTCGATTTAAATCCACTTCTAATAACTAAAAAACGAAGAAAAGAAGAGAGAGGGGTCTCTAGTTCAGATGAACCCAACTAATAAGCTTCACCACCGATGACAACAGTTTTGATGACCACGGATAACGGTGGAGCTTGGGATATTATAGAGGATGCAAGGATGATCAGGGCAGAGCCGAAATTTTCCATTAGGGGCCCCCTTCGCCCCTGGCTACGCCCTGATCAGCTCGCAAAGAATCACGAATTGTGGCTATTGGTCCGAAGGTGCGGATGGAACAAGTATTATATATAGATTCAACACCATTTTATGACATAATGCATTTTTAAGCCGTAATGGTCGTGAACCTATCAGAACTCTAGAGTTAAGCGTGTTTAAGGGCAAAGAATTACGAATTGTGACTATTGGTCCGAAGGTGCGGATGGAACAAGTGTTATATATAGATTCAACACCATTTTATGACATAATGCATTTTAAAGCCATAATGGTCGTAAAACTATCAGAATTCTAGAGTTAAACGTGCTTAATCTGGAGTAGCACCAGGATGGGGCCCTACCCTGAGAAGTCTCTAGTTCGAGAGAGCTAAAAGTGAATAATATTGTGTTTGAATGAGGTGAAAACTCTTACCAAAAACTCTTAAGCCGATACCACATTGGTGTCTCTCCGATAACCTTTTTTCCTTCCCTTGTAGTTTTGGGTCGCATTGTCTTTTTATAAAAAGGACAAATTTATTATTAATAAAAATTTATTTAACATTTTTTTTATTTTATTATTATTATTAATTTTTTAAAGGATAATAACAAAATTAATTCATTAAATTTTAATATAATTTTATTTTTAAAAAAATTATTAACCAGTCTTAACCCATTTAACACTTTCATGGTCTAAATCTAATACTAACCTTGGGAGGCTCCAACGAGTCCAACCAGGTTCCTTTCACTCTGGGTATTTTTATTTTTTAATTTATCGGTATTCATTTTTATTCCCTCTTAATAACCAAAACGGCAAAAATTACCGTCTACGGACGAAGGTATGGTTGAACAAAATTACAGACCAGACCTCAAATGACTTCGAATTTTCGAAACTTGAAACCCTCTTCAAACGCATAGCTCCAAACACCAGACACCTGATCTGCACAGTCACACGCTCTCAGTGACCAAACCAATCGAACCATGGCCGCCGATAGATCCCAAACCCTAGAACCCCAAATCTCCGAACACCACGACGACGAGAGTGACCTCGAAGAGCTCGACAAGTTAGAGGCCGACGTGAACCGAATGGCTCAGAGAATTCTTGAGTACAGAACGACACTACCAGATCAACTCAAGAACACTCTCGCTTCGGTTCTCGCTTCACAGAGACCCGTTCTTGTGACCCATCCCGAAGACGGGTCCGAACCCGGTCCCTCGGGCTACCCCAATCCAGGTACATTTCAAGGGTTTCGAATTTTTTTTTTTTTTTCTCCGTTTGATTTCAATGTTGATAGCGTTGTTAGATAATGCCTTCCAAAATTTTTATAGCCATGTTGCTGTGTCACTTTCAATAGTGGTTTATTTTTTGCGTTTTGTAATTGTGATTGGTTTGTTTTTTTTAATCAAGTGTGTTGAGCTATTTTTGTAGCAGTGAGGCTCTTATGAGTGATTTTGTGTGTGTGTGTGAACTTTGGAAATGTTATGGTGAAGAATGGGGAGAGTGCTTGAGTGGATGGTCAATTTGGGGAAAACTAAGGTTGATCACTTTGTTCATTCATGATATATAAACACTTGTTTAATTAAGGTTTTCAGCTCCCCTGAGCCGGATCATTGTGATTGGAATCTGGGGAATACGATACTAAGAGTATTGAATTAGAATATGTAAATTTCAAGTTTTTTTTTATTCTTTTCATTATATCACTTGACTAGGTTAGTGATTTTATTTTATTATTTTAAGTGTCTATGTGTGTGTTGTGCGTTACATCTATGAAGATTTTTGGTGGTTCTTAATTTGGATTTCAAGATTGACGGCTCGGAGAGGAGGTAGGGATCGAAGGTTTCAATTAACCTTAGTTAGAGGCAGTCGAAGGTTTCAGTTGATGGTGGAAGCTATTATGAGGGTATTGCGAGGTTTTTTGTTTTGCGAATTCAGAGGGAGAAGAGAAAATTTACGTGAATTATGGGAGCTGAGAGATGAAATCTTGTAAATGTAACTAATTGGCAATTGTGAGCGAGTTTCGTGAAGTGAGAATTACGGCCATAACCTATGGCCTCATTTACTTTTCATGATATGATTTCACTATAGGACACGTCTATGTAAGAAAAAAGAATCTTCAATTAGATTTGACTAGAATTGAATTATTTTTCTTTTTCGATAAGTGTGTGTATATATACTAGACTAAATTAGAATGGATTCATGGAGCTTTGTATCTTATGTACACAACACCCTGTCCACACACCTGCAAATTGTTACTGTTAGGATGGCCATTACCCTTGTTTAGACCTTGGGATACTAATAATTCAAATGTATAATTATGGCAGACAAATTTTCACAAATCTTTGGGATAATCATAATTCAAATGTATAGTTATGGCAGACGGGTTTTCACAAATCTATTTAAAGTAATAGGTCTAAAATTCTTCCCAAACTTGCATACACGATTGCACTAACATCTGGATTTTCAGTGTGGTCTTTTGTCAGATTCATAATTAGCTTGATGTATAGAATATCTGGGAAAACGATAAGAGAAGTATTCTTAGTTCAGCATTTCTAATGTCATGTATCCAAGTTGAGCATAGTATTTAATAATTACACTTGTTATCCTTTTTTTTTTTTTTTTTTTTTGGTCTTAATGCACAATAAACTTTAATAAATAAAGAAAGAGGTATGATATACGGGATATACAATGGTCATACAAGGTCGGGGTTGCTATTGAAATCAATGAACTCCTAAAAGTAAGGGTCCGAATTAGATAAGTGGGCAGAGCATTGAAGGAAAAAATAAATTGAGCTTAGGAATACCCTTAAAAGGAATTGCTATTCTCATTTATAGAATTGAATGAGATACTAAATGTGCAAAGGCTTTTCAGAATGAAGCATGCTCAAACTATCTTATTTGAGGTTTATTTAAATAATCAGGCTTGTCTTCTGGCATGAGTTGGCTAATGCACCTTTTTAGAGCTGAGTTGCAGCACATTATGGCTTATCGGAAACAATCCTAGCTAGCTTGGCTCATTAGTTATTCCTTTATGATGTTTGCCCAATTGTATGTAGTTATTTATAGAGCAATGTAGAAGTAAGACATTGTTTAAACTTGATTCCTTGCCTTGTGAATAGTTTCTAAAAAGTTAAATGTGAACAGAAGATATGGTGAACAGAGTGGCATTAGTATGCACAAAAGTACTGCTGTATAAATTTGACTAAAATTTAGGAAGTTTGTATCAAATACAAATATTGTTTTGGCAGAGAAATCATTGGGTGTGGGGTTGATGGCATTCATATATTTAGGATGATAGTGGCTGTCACAGTGCAGATCTATGTTAATTTTAGGACCAATGAGTGGCGGAGATGATGGTAGATTTAACAATTTTCATGGTTTAGTGGAGCAGTGCTATGCTTGTTATAGGTGATCCACTGATCCTTGAGTTTGGGGTGGTGGCAGCAACAGATGCAAGAAGAAAAAGTGAAATCCTTTTTTAGGAGCAAATTTTTTTGCTTCAACTAGCAAGCTTTTTAAAAGCATTCTTTCAACTGCAGCATTAAAAGTTTTGGCTACTCTCTCTCTCTCAAAAGTTTTGGCTACTCTCTCTCTTTCTCTCAGTGTTTACTAAATTCTTCATTTTTATGGGATTGACCTGTTTCTGTTCTTACAGATGCAGGAGGACTCATTCAATTAGGTAAAGGGGTCTCAAAAGCAGAAGAAGATCAAGAGACAGCTAAGAAAACACAATTGCTTAAACGAAAGATTACTGGTAATGTCTCTGCTATGCCTATCGTTTTGAAGAGGGTGAAAGAATGTATGACTAGAATTGACAATCTAGATTCATGCAAGGGGACCATCCATCCCGTTTTTAGAAGGAAACGGACTAGCTGACCCAGTTAATTTCACATTTGCTTGATTGTTGGTAAGCTGTTAATTTGAGTTAAAAGGAGTGTGTTGTTACAGTTGACAGCTTCAATCTGTACAATCATTCTTGGTGTTGAAAAAGAAAGGAGTTTACTAGCAAGATCCGTATTTCCAGTGCTTATCTTTTTGTAATTACTCAAAAGCATTGAGTTTGATATGTATTATAATTTATAACATGTTGCTGACAGCGACAGTAGTCTGGTAGCTTATTTTGGTGTATTAAATCATTAAATGTGAGATATGATGTGCGGTTGAGATTAATTTTTACACTCATGCCGTTGTGCTGCTTTATTTGCATCTTGCTTCTTGAAGCATTTGGCCTAATATTCATCACTACTTAGGAGAAACTGACGGTAGTGTGTAAAAAATTCTCAAATCATAAAAAATAGAGGTAAGTCAGTGCTAGTCCTCCTCATGCATCAATGTCATATGACCATTCTCTCTTGGAAAATGATACCCTGTTGAACTTTTCTGCTTCAAAATTGCTCTGTGACAGTGAAGGTAATGACAATGGTGGGCGTTGTGATTTGAAATGGAGGGAGAACCATCGTGTCACTTGGGAAGATAAAATTGTATTGTATGAATGCATCACTGTTTAAAAAATTAAAGATTTCTGTTGCGAGTTGTCTTGTCTCAGTTATGTCCACATTCGTGATGGGTAGTGTGGGGCTTGATATGCTTTTCTTATTTTTCCGTTTAATTTTGCAACACTCTTGGCTCATGAAATGTCTACTATTCTTCCTTGTATCAGCATTTTAACTACCTTCACTTTTTATAGACAGGAGTTCTCTCTTTGCAATTATGATTTTTGCTTAGTTGGAAATATAATAAGATTGGAAAGAAAAAAAATTCCTCCTTCAAGCATCTGAGAAATGCAAGAACCAGCTTGGAAGTTGGGATATTCTTTATCCTCCAACTCAACTTCTCCACAAACACTATTCTGATATGCATACACATGTAGCTTCTCACGATATACATTCTTTACGGCCCTGATTTTAGCACTGCTTCTAATGTTTGTTCAAGTTATTGAACAGACATGAAACACTTCTAACATGTAATATTCTGACTCCTATTCCAGAGCCAAAATGAAGGTTCTTAATCACAATTAAATCTAATTCTAGTAGCCAAAACGAGCCATCTTTAACTTGCCAAAAAAGGTAATTTTAACTTGCAATGATGATTGTTAAATTTCAAAAAATGCACAAGCATCCCTCTAAGACTTGGAACAAGTACCAAAGCTATGACATAAACCAAACCCCTGAAGAGACTGTTACATATAGACTTTGAAAGAAGAAAAGCATTGTTTCAAGTATGAAATTTAGTAATTATAGTGTTTCAAACCTTATGTAAGACAGATTGGGAATGAATTAAATTCAAAGGGCTCTCAAAAAGGCCCCGAATATTGACACTATCAGAGTTACAATACATGTCATTGCAAAGACTTCAGCTTCATTCTTCAAATTGCCACACATTTACAACTGATTACATCATCATCAGAAGTTAATTTAGGTACAGAAGAACTCACCATCATCCCTCCCAAATTCCCTGTTTTGCCAACATCCCATACCACCGTGCTAAGCCCCTTACCAATGACAAAAATGCTCGTCCCAATTGCAACGAGACGACAAGGTGGCCTTGTAAGAAGGTGTGAGAGTCTTCGAACTGCCACCCACTCCCTTCTATCCTTTTGCCACATCATCAGCTTCGTTCCAGAACTCTGATCCAAGACATAAAGGATCCCATTGGCGACAACAGCTGGTCCTCGCCAGCCTGACACCAAATCAGCATCTGCATGCTGCCATATGCCACTTGACGGATCATAAACAACTGCATACACGTGAGAAGATGGAGTAGAAGATCCACATCGGATATAAATTTTCCCATCCAAAACAATAGAATCTTCAATGTCAGGGACAATGTTAAGATCAGTGTAAGATCTCCAACTGTTTGTGTGGGGGTCATAAGTGTCCCAAGAGTGTGGATCACTTGAGTTTGAACCTAAACCGCCAATGGCATAAATTTTTTTGTCCAGAACTTCACAAGCAAAATAACACCTACATGCACCAAAACTATCAAATACCGCTTTAAAAGACCATAAATAACTCAATTAGAAGTTCACAAAGAAATTATAATTTGATTAATCTTCAAAACATAATCTTTTTAGGGTTTAGCAGATCCAAAAGGTAATTCACCATTGATATTTTTTTTTTTGAAAAAAAAAATCACACACACACACACTTTTATTTATCCAATTCGAAACTTAAACCCTCAACCTTCCTTTTGGAAAAAAAAAAAGAAACCACTCAGGCTACACCCGTGGTGGTTAATTCACCATTTTTTACTCTGAAAAAAGATCAATTCAAGGTTGATCACTAAACTATGGATAAAATCCCAATAGCTTGTTGAGTATAACAATGGACCATGTGAAAATGATGAAGGAATGAGGGCTATGATGTTCCAACAAGGAGAAACCTACTTTCCAAAAAAAAAAAATGAAGAAGAAGAAACCTGTATCAGTGAAGTATAGGTATATTCACCTTGTTTAAATTTACATAATGTGGGACAACTCCCAAGAAAAAAACCTCTAATAAAAGAATCGAACCTTATAACGGATCTATAAAGAATTTTGAGGCAAAATTGACCTAATATACTTGCCCTAATATACAATGCTTGTAACCATTACTTAATTCCACCTGACAAGAGTCAAGTAAAAGTGAAACTAGTCTCTGTTTCAATCACAAGCACACAAGAGGAAGTATAAGATCTGCTGATAGGATTGATTTGCATTTTTTTTCCAAATGTTAATTTAGTAGTTTCCTTGTGTTCCTTTTATATGATTAGTTAATGGCTAATCTATTACATTGGGATGTGACACCTGGATGGTGTTCTCAGGAATAGATGACTTCCCAACAGTTTTTTTACAAAATTCATATATCAGGAAGAGGTTACATTAAATTATTCTTGTGAAAAAAATATACAAATGGGTGGTGTTACCTGGCAGTAGACAAAGGAGCAGCTTCACTCCCAAGTGTTCATGGCATCTCACACAGATAATGGTATATTCACCTTGTTTTGAATTTACATAATGTGGGACCACTCCCAAGAAAAAAAACTCTCATAAAAGAATCAAACATTGTAAGGGATCTATAAAGAGTTTTGAGGCAACATGACTGTAACCATTACTTAAGTCCACATACCAGAATCGAGCAAAAGTGAAACTAGTCTCCCTTTCTATCACAAGCACACGGGAGGAAGTATAAGATCTGTTGATTGGACTGATTGCATTTTTTTCTTTCTCAAAAGGTTAATTTAGTAGTTTCCTTGTGACCATTTTATACGATTAGTTCATGGCTAATCTATTACATTGGGAGTGTGATACCTGGACAGTGTTCTCAGGAATAAACGACTTCCCAACAGTTTTTTTTTTTTTTTGAGAGAGAGGGGGGGAAAAAAACAACTCGTACGAAATCCATATCTCAGGAAGAGGTTACATTAAATAATTCATGTGAAAAAATGGATGGTGTTACCTGGCAGTAGACAAAGGTGCAGCTTCAGTCCAAGTGTTCATGGCTGCATCATAGCAGTAGACCTCATCAGTAGCATCTTCAACCCAACCACAACCACCCAATAGGTAAACTTTCTTCCCCAACACTTGAAAGCCCACTCCTTTTCTCTTCAAGCAGCAAGGTGGAAGGCTTTGAATGCGCTTCCAACACCTTTTTGAAACGTTGGGATCTAACACATAATAGCAAAGCTGTTCAAACTTGTCTTTACACAAAGCATAAATCCAAGTCTCATCCAGATTATGCTTTCGACGATAAGAATGCCACTTTTCACTGCACACCAATTCTCTCCATCTTTTTGAAACACATTTGAGGAGTGCATGATACCTCCGCGGAACCCTTGCAAGGCAGAAAAGGGCAATGTCATCAGGAAGCCCATTTATCAGTGGTGATTGAGCTAGTTCTGTTTGGCTACAATCCTCTGGGTTACTTTTCATAGTTTCCATTGCAGTGCAGTGCTGCTTAAGTCCTACGAATTAAAGAAAAATACATTAAAGGTTCTCCATCACTGCAAGTTTAACCAAACCCTGACAATCGCCAAAATCACTAATTTATATGCAAATCATTTAATACATCTATTAAAGGTTCAACACAAGGGTGTAGATGAAATCTCAATAACCCCAAAACAATATAAAAATCTGATGCAATCTCAATCATTTTAGCACCAAAAAACACATAAATATGACAACATCAAGCTTCTTAAATCTAGAAAACCAGAATTTAACAAATCAAACCCATTCTGGAAGAACATGTCCTAAACAAACGAGTCAGCATTTCACAATAAGATTATCAGACAATATTGGAGTTTTTAAACACCTCAACGGAATCGGATTAAACCTTTAGCATAGCAATTAAACAAATAATCATTAGTTTATTCCAGAAATATCAAAAAAAAATTACCAAATCTATATAAATAAATGTTCATCTACTGGAAGAACATGGTGCCTCCTTTTCAAGAACAAAAACAATTCCACTACCATGCAAAAACAAGTTAACTCAATTTAAATGCTTCAAAAAGCGAAATGGGTGTAATCAGACCCAATCAGCGTATAAACAGAGCTCCTATCAACAAAACAAATTAAACAATCGCGATAATATTTCAGTCAGATCCACTTTTAACAATTGACAAGAATTGTACGCAAAATATCTAGATGAACGACAACAAAAACAACAATGCAAAGGAAATTAAACAAGCCAATTGATCAAATATAGTCAAATTGAAAACCTAGTTTCACAGCAAGCAAACAGATCAGACAGGAAATATACAACGATATCACTCACATCCATAACATATAACATTCATAAATATGTATATTTACATATATGTTTTTATATATCCAGTATAACAAACCTGAAAATCCAATCGATGAAAACTGAACTCGTTCTTCAGTCTCTGAGGACATGGGAAGGAACAAGGTAATGGTTGGTTCAATAGACACGTCTGTGATTTTTAGGGTAATTTTTAAAAATTACAAATACTTTGGGGGTATAAATTGCAATAAAAAATCGATTGTGGTAACTTTCGTACAGTATTTGATAAATTATTGGGGTCCAGTTTACAATATTATTTATGTTGGGCCTAAAAAATGTGGATCACAACTGGCCGCTTTGTCCCAAATTCGCCCGAGTTTAGGATCAGACAAGCCCAAGTTTCGGGCCGATTTGTGTTCCTCGTCTGACCTTTTCAGCCTAAAATCTGCCCAATTATACAGACGAGCTTTGGCCCAAATCGGGCCGAACTTAGGGTCAGATCGGCCCAATATGAAGCCCAGCGTGATCCATATCTGGGCTTTTCAGCCCAATTCGGTCCAATTCGTAGCTAATTTCGTTGCTAAAGATCACTTATTTGTTACGACAAAAAAATCAATTTGCAGAAAAAATTTCAGCGAAAATTAGTTTCGTCTCAAATACTTTTTTCCATAATATCCTTCATGAAAATCATCACACAATCTTCTTTCGGACTAATTTTATTTTTGTTGCAAAAGACTCATTTTGTTGTAGTTAATGGTATTCTTTTCTCAATAAATGCTATAATTATAATATTTTCTTAAATATTTTCAGTTAAAATATTTCTCTGAGATTTTCAGCAGCTATATATTATTAAAATAGATACCCTCTAGATATCCTCACACATGTAATGGAGCATAAACTTGAAAATATATATTTTTCATTTATTAACCCTAGCATAATCAATAACCCTGCCAAGATCACCAATCCATTTTGGACAGATGAAATTGGAGGATGTTTATTCGTATTTCTTTTCCTCTCTTTAACCTTCTCGTGTACCAAACAATAGAGACATGTTCCTTTATTATTCAATTTAGGATCAAAGCCACAACAGATCTCCATTTAACAGATGTTACGCGTTTTTTAAAAATTGGGAAGTTTGAAAAGAAACAATTTGCAAAACTTGTCCCAGCAGATTTTTTGCAATTAATGTAGTATTATTTAAGCAATTCTATTCACACCTTCCAATCTCTTTTTAACTAAATTTTGTAGATTAGCCTAGATAACGTCTACCAAGACTTTTTGGAGTCCAACAATTAATTCATATATTCAAACTCACAGATCAATGAAAAAAAGGCATGCAAAAAACTTTTACCCTCCAAACAACTCAGATCTGAGCTGCAAATTCTAATCATGCCCAACTGGTTTGAATACTACAGTGACGTTTAGATTAAACACTTCTTTCCCCCAACCCCCAAAAAAATGCTCTACTTTTAAATAATTAACATAAATCACAATGATCAAAACTAACAAGTGCTCCACAATAGAAAAGGATTACGTGACAACACACCATGACACAAGTGTGCATTCTCTATTCATTGGGAACCGGAATGGTCTCATGATATGCAATAATAAGGGAATTAAGAAATGATGAGAAGACTGAGTAGAGGTCTCATGATACCACCACTACACGCAAATCTCCGAAATTCATTGTTTGGAAATCCTTTCATAACATCAGATTTAAAAAAATAAAAAATAAAAAATAAAAAAATTTAGCACAAACCCCTCAATTTGGCAGCAACAATGTGATCCAGCACTTATTGATATAAGGAAATCCATCAAATACTCTGTAATCTTAACGCACAGAGCGTTTTAATGCATTGTAAGTATAAGAAAAGGCACATCCACAAACAACTTTATCTAAATGCATAAACACATGTAAATAAAGCTAAAAATAGAGGTGAAACTTAAATGGTTTCATTTCAAACAAGCTCAGATGTAAGTAATCCGAATTCAGGGCTGCAATACGCAAACGTCTCAAAAAGTCAAAACCTAATGGCAAAACTCCAAACTTCAGTTTAACAAGACACAATCTAAATAAGCTTCTCTGATTTCTAATCTCTTCACCAAGATTGCTCCAAGAAGAGATATTCAAGTGCAACCCCTCACTTCTTCTTCTCTCCACCTCCAGCAGACCTGGATAAAGGATGCCCAACAAAATATGAGAGACCATTAAGCAGACGATAAAGAAAGAATGTCTTAAACTTGATATAAGACCTAGACATGAAATATTCAGGGTTTTGGGTGACCAGAAATTATTAGCAGTGCCAACAATAAACCATCTGTTGAAGTCATTTCAGTGTCAACTAAATGTACGAGGCATGTAGCTGTCAATTACCTCATCTTGCGGAGAACATTGGACATCTCCTCACGCTTCTTCTTTGCTCTCTTATGAGTGCCCAACTTCCTCTTTGCAACTTTAAGAGCACGTTTATCTTTTCCAACTTTCAGAAGTTCAGTTATTCTCTTCTCATAGGGAGCAAAACCAGCTACTTCCCTTATGAGGTTTCTCACAAAATGGACTCGTTTGCTGGTTTTCTGAAAGAAATAATACATTATATAATATAATACTTCCAAGTACAACCATAAGGATATAACAAAAAATATATACTGATCGCAAGTCAATTTCAATGTATATAATTGTTTATCAGGCAACTAAAGGAACCTGTTTATGACACAGAATGCAAGTTAATATTCAAGAGCTGAAAGCATCATACAAACAATGATAATTAAAATTGAAAAACACACAAAGACACAAAAATGCATAAGTCATGCTGGAGTCATCTTACCCCCTTTCTATCAGAAGGGCGTGCAATCTTTTCCTTCTTGGTTACAACATGTCCTTTGTTCAGACCCACAAATAGGCCAGTGTTTGGCTGTTTTGGAGCCATCACCTGAAACAAAATGGCCAAAATGCATATATTGGTCAATTTGAAGAAAATTCTGAAGGACTAACAAAATTTGGTGGGAAAATATATATACATATATTAAAAAGAAGAAACAATTTGTCTTTAATCCCACTCCAAACCCCCAAAAAATACACCAGTTACAACAATATAGAGTGTGCGCTAATCCCAATTCCCATGGAAAATGGCATACCAGCAAACAAAACAAGTTTTGTGCACCAGAACAAAGTGAATTGAACTATAGGCACACTATGACAAGCATGCCATCTGTAATTATGACGCAAAATACAATAAATTCACCTTTTGTACAATAAGCCCAAAAAGAAAAGAATAAGGAAAAAAAAACTTCTAAAAGCAAAAGATCATCATCCTTACCTTCATCCCATATGGGGATATGATTGGCCACATGAATCATCTCCTTTCCTATCACATGCCATTTCACCTACTATATTTATCTTTTTAAAATTATTTTTAATAACCTCGTCCCATGTTATTTTTGGTCACCTTCTCCGTCTCTGACTTTCATTACAACTAGTCTTCCTCATTTTACCAAGGTCTCTAGGTCTCCGATGCACGTGTCCAAACCATCTAAGTCTATTCTCCCGGATTTTCTCACTAATCGGTATTACACCTAATTTTTCTCACTTTCATTAGTGACCCTCTATCTCTTCTAGTCACTCCACTCATCCATCTCAGGGTGAGCAAACACTCCCTATGCATCAGTAAGCAAATAACACTCACAATGCATAATTAACGACGACATTGGCCCCCATCGGAATGCACAAATCAGAAGATGGTATCAATGTGTAAAAATATAGTAGAGACGTGCAAAGAGGTTTTCTCTTTATCTCCCTTATCTAAATATTCAAAACCAAGGAAACAAAACAACTTTAAAAAAAAAAACCATTCTTTATGTATCATTCATGAAATGGGTTATGCACCAAGTTCGGGTCAATGAGATCCACCAATTAGCAGCAGATTTTTATTCAATGTTGTGGACCGATGGCATATTGTCTTTTAAATAAGAAACCAGTAAACAACAAATCATTCTTTGAACACATCTCAACAACAGGTCGATTGTTACTTTACATTCCAACAAAAATATTATATTTGGAATGTTTATAATAGGGTTGCAGCTAATCAAACATCAAGAAGGTAAAACGTGTAAAAATAAATGAGTAAGGACCAAGTACAATAATATCACCAAACATGCAAATCCAAAGAACAGAGGAGATTCATATTGCTGTTTGCTTTCTGGGAAGATGCTAGAATATAACAAAGTAAATGCTTTGACCTACTGGAAAAACAGTTCAAAACCTTTTCACTTCTTTGGAACCAAACGTCTATAAAGTCTATGAAGTTTTTGCTCAGAAATTGCAAAGAAAATACATATATATATATATATACACACGTGAAATTTCATGCTTTAAAAATCTCATGGTAATATTAATATTCAAAGATTCATCTAAACTAAGTGAACTCATATTGTTACTCTCATTAAGTCGATATTTTTCCTTTCACAATTCCCGAAAAATGAAGAAAACAAAATGAAAACTTGAGTTCATTTCCTTTTCCTATGAAATCTCATTACCCAAACAGAACAAGCGAATACGTAATATCGCAACGGATCTAATAAAACAAGCGAAATGACGTTCAGATTCAAAGCAGTGGCTGCGAAATTACTCACTTACCGGTCTGCTCTGACGAAAATTTTCCAGGAAAATCCTCAGATGAATCTGCAAATACAAAAAGAGAAATCAGATTGATGAAGACTCACAGGAAAGATTTTAAAACACTGAATGGATCGATTCGCTTTTTCGAGTAGATTGTTTCTCACCTCCGGAGTAACGAGAGGCCACAGAAGAAAACTAGGGTTCGTGGTTTTGTGCTTTACTTATATACACACTGCCGACTAGGCCACGTCGCCCTTGGGCCTGGGCCTCTGTTCCACGGAAGAAAACTAGGGTTTGTGGTTTAAGGCCTTTTGGATTAAGGTTCGGCCTAGAGTTTCCTAAAATGTTTGGTTCCCTGGGTTTCCTTTTTATTGTAATTACTCCTAAATTTAAAATAATAAAACTCTCACTATTTTTAAATTTTGATTATAAAATTCTAACTTAAAAACTATTCTATTTTTAAAGAGTGATTACATCACCCCAATATCTATATCGAATCCATTAACCAGGTTATTAAATGACAAATTTTAAAATTAGATTTGTGAGAGAGAGAGAGAGGGAGGGAGAAGAAGAAGATTAAAGAGTATTTTATATTTTCAAATTTTGATTATAAAATTATAACTCAAAAACTCTTATATTTTTAAAGAGTGGTCACATTACCTCAATATCCATATCAAATCCATTATTCGGGCTATTAAATGACAAATTTTAAAATTATGTTTGAGAGAGAGAGGTGGGAGTATGATCACTTTTTTTAAAGTGTAAGGGTTTTTTGAAGCAGGTTGAGCTTTTATGATCAAGATTTGAAAATAGTAGAGATTTAACGATTTTAATGGAAAAAAATTTATTGGTATAATTTGAGAACTCTTTTACCATAATGCCCATCGAAAGAATTTGTGATTATTCCTTTTATTTTTAATTTATTATTATTATTATTTCAACCACTATATATCTCATAAAAATGAATGGAAACTAGATTAGTCATAATTTAAAGTATTTATGATTTGATTTCTTAATTGTGCACACTTTTAATATGTTAAAAGTTTCAGGTAAAGAGTTTTAGCCCTTGGAAAATTTTTGTAGTTGGTCTACACATATCTCTGTCTCATAAACTAACATTTGTGACGAATAAAAAAAAATATACACATATATATACATACTCAAGAATTTATGAGATTTTTAATGAAATTGTTTTCGTCATTCTTTATGCCATGTCATAATACTTATATTAGATATTAATACATGACCAATGTAAAATTATTTCACATAACTTTAAGCACTTTCAATTTTGTTACAAATAAAACTTATAAGTATGTAATATGGTTAATTAAGAAGCATGAGAGAGAGAGAAAGTAGAAATCATGGGATGAGTATTTGAAATATGGGAAGAAAGAGTTAGATAATAAAGAGAATGGAAGATAGAAACTGTGAGTTGGAATTTAGGTGGATGGCACCATTTTTTTTTTTTTTTCTTTCGTTCTTTTTTGTTGGAAGGTAGATGTATAGAACTTATCAATGAGAGAAAAGTTGTACATTTAATGATTGTAAGACAGAAAAAGCAAGAGAAAGTAGATGAAACTTGATTAATAAGATAAAAAAAACTACCGAACACAATAAAACGATTACTCAAATGAATTAGGAAAAAAGCTAGCGACACACATAGCACCATTGTACTTTTTTTTTTTTATAACATGCAAGTACTTATAATCATTTAAAAGAAAATTATTTTTAAAAAATTGAACCACAATCACTTAGGTCATAGATATGAGTTTTCCGTGCAAAAAAATAGAGGTTGGTAATTCGAAGTAAAGTAGAGTAATGAATGTGAGGTTGGTAATTCGAAGTAAAGTAGAGTAATGAATGTTGGTAAGGGTAACAATATTTGACATGACACGATATGAATACGACCCAAGATAAAAGGGTTCGTGTCGACACGAATTGACCCGATCAGTAAACGTGTTGTGTTTGTATTTATGTTTGACCCTATAAATACAATTATGATATAATTAATCCGATTAACTAAACGTGTCGTATTCGTGTAAAAAATGACCTATTTAGTTAAAATGTGTATAATAAACATGTCGTGTTTATATAAAAAATTGTTTTAAACATGTCTTTTCGTGTCATGTCTTGACTCATTTATTAAATAGGTTACGCGTGCCGTGTCGTGTTACACGTGTAATAATCGTATCGTATTACACGTGTAATAATCATGTCGTGTTTGTATTGTAAGCGTGTCGACACGAATATGACACGCCAACACAAATTGACACTCTTAAATGTTGGTATTACACGTGTAATAATCATGTCATATTTATGTTGTAAGCGTGTCGACACAAATTGACACTCCTAAATGTTGGTAATAATCATGTCATATTTATGTTGTAAGCGTGTCGACACAAATTGACACTCCTAAATGTTGGTAAGAGTGTGGTATTTTGATGTAAATATATATATATATATATAATCATAAAATCACATTATTTATAATAATTTAAATTATTATTCAATTATTCAATTCATTATTTACTTCTGAATAAATTTAACTAAGTGTGTGTGATAATATTAAAATAACATTTAAAAATAGATAAGATTTAAAGTATGGATAATTAACTCGACACCGACCACTTAAAATGTTTAAAGATATCAACTAAATTATTAATAACTGTAGCACTTACAAATTTCAATTTTATCACACACTACACAATACGGTGTCGTGTGTACTCTCCATGAGGATTAATCAATTTTCAGTCATCATAGCTCGTGTTTAAGGCAATTAATACAAGGACTAACCGAAGCAAAGAATCTAAGCATTACGACGGGAAGATTCTTGAAAGAGGGACCCGAGGAATGGGTTTGACTGGTAGGTAGGTCTACAAAAGTTCATTCAAGTGTAATATATGTGCGTATAGAATTGTAGATACAGTATTTCCCAAATTTATTTCGTATGCATTGGCTGATTCTTCTATGTAGACATCTAATTGACGGTTACCCTCTATTCATCCCATGAAATCATAAAAGTTTGAACCCAACTCTGAGTCTGTCCCAAATTTCCAGAATCTGGGTATACTTTTTAGCTCCTCCAATCTTCTTCTTCTTTTTGATTTTTGATTTTCCTGTTGTTTAGCTGAATTTTATATGTAATCTTGAAACTGGGTCTCCATTAATTTCAGTTCTCAATTTGTTTTCGATCATACTAGTCGAAACTGGTACCTTTTTCACACCCATCTATATTCTGCTTTTTCTTTTTCTTTTTGTCTTGTTTGTTTTTAAAATGTCTCAATATCACTTTTCATCCAATTGTGAAAAATTTCAGCTATTTGGACTAGTGCTTTAGACTGTAGATTAACCCATATAAAGCAATTGATCAGTGTTATCACTTTTCAAATTTCCACAATCTGGGTATTCTTTTATCCGTTCCAATTTTGTTCTTTTCAACTTTTGTTTTTGATTCCCAGAGAGTGGTTTATTGTTTAGCTGAATTTAATATGTGTTGCTTATGCTGGGTCTCCATTAATTTCAATTCTTAATTTGTTTTCGATTATACTAGTCCAAATCAGTACCATTTTCACATCCATCTGTACTCTGCTCCTTTATTTATTTATTTTTAATCTCAATTTTTACCCGTGTGGAGCAATTTAATATAGGTTTCCATTTGCAACCGAGAATTTAATTCTATATTTTGTTTGTAATTATCTTTCTACCTTGATCAATATTACCTTCCCTTTTGAACTTTGGAAGTCCTGTACTTTTTTTTCGTTCTTCCCATATAAATTCATCTATAGAAATTCCTCTTTCCCTTGAACTTCAATTGCTAATCTGAGACCCAGTTGAATTTTTTAAATTTCAGAAACCCATTAGTTGTTCTGCCGTTCTTTTCACATACAATCCACCATTCTTAATATATGGACATTATTATCTGGTAGGTATCAATGTCATTTGCCTGTGGCCTCCCCATTCTTGAATGTGTTTACTGTCTGGCATGTGCTCGTTGGGTGTGGAAAAAATGCCTTTATGCGGCAGGCCATGAAAGTGAGAATTGGGGCCTTGCTGTGGCTGGTGAATTTGAGCCCGTGCCTCGCCTCTGCCGCTTTATCCTAGCAGCTTACGAAGAGGATCTCCGAAACCCCATTTGGGCTCCTGCTGGAGGGTATGGCATCAATCCAGACTGGGTAATTTTACGAAGAAATTATGAAGAGACGGAAGGACAGGTTTCTCCTTATATGATATATCTTGATCAAGATAATTCTGATATAGTTGTAGGCATTAGGGGGCTTAATTTGGCGAAGGAAAGTGATTACGCAGTATTACTAGATAACAGACTAGGGCAGACAAAATTCGATGGAGGGTATGTTCACAATGGGCTGCTGAAGTCAGCTCAGTGGGTTTTGGATGCAGAGTGTGAGATGTTGAAGGTACTAGTCGAGAGGAACCCGAACTATACATTGACATTTGTTGGGCATTCCTTAGGGGCAGGGGTTGTGACATTGTTAACAATGTTGGTGGTTGTGAACCGGAAAAAACTGGGGAACATTGAAAGGAAAAGAATCAGATGCTTTGCAATTGCTCCTCCTAGGTGTATATCACTAAATTTGGCTGTGAGATACGCAGATATCATAAACTCTGTTGTGCTCCAGGTAATTGCCATCACACTTGGTTGATGTCCTAGTTTCTTTGCTGCAATGCTATGGATAGAATTTGATTTAAATTTTTTTTTTTTTATATATGTGAGAAGCATAATTTCTGCAATTCTTTTAGATAGATAAATCATAATTATCAAATCGTCACCATAACAAAATATCAAGTTTGTCGAGTCTTAATCACACATGACCTTTCTTTTTCTAGATTGTGTAGTGAGATAACATTTTTTCCAAGATAAATGGGAAAGGATAGAAAAATAAATCTTAAAATATCTTAAGAACTTAGATTTTTCTAAGTGTATGAAACTGAATGTTTTTTATTTGGACTAAATAAGTTTTGATACATGCATTTCACTAAACTAATATCTAATGTATATCCTCGTGTCTCTCTAGGGATGATTATACTTGCATTCTAATATTTGTTATTATAATGGATCAGGATGATTTCTTACCTCGAACAACGACGGCATTGGAAGATGTATTCAAATCACTTTTCTGGTAAAAGATTGCAGGTCTTAGTCACCTTTCAGTTATAGATTCCTTTGTGTGCAAAATCTTTAATTATTTATGATGCCAGTTTAAACAGAAACACATTTCCGAATTTCTTTTAACCAATTAACAGTTTTTTTCAGTTTACGTAATTTTTTTGCCATCCTATGTGACTACCCATCCTATGTTACTTTGTCTCTTAGGCTTGCTAACAGATTATTTCCGTGTGGAAGAAACCTTATGGATAACTGTTGTGGCCATTGAAATCTTAATAGCGTCATAGTTCAGATGTGTTTCAAAAGTATAGTTTTTGAAAATGATAGTGTCTGGACACGTGACTTCAACAAAAAATATTTTTATGTTGGTCAACCATTACAAATTTCAGTGCCACTTGAACCAATAGGTCCCTCTTATTCTAGTAACCATTCTTTATGAATTGGAGTGGTCTTCATTTTTAGTTGAAGATTGTTTTCAGTTATGCCAAAAGGTCACTTATCAAAAAAAAAAAAAAATAATGGTTATGCCAAAAGGTCACCCCATGTTTCTATTACAATTTTTTCTTTTTCTTTTTTACAAAACAACAAACATTGGTCCCATTGTCCACGGGAGCCTCACAGGGGAAAGTCTCGATTATCTCAATGAATGAATGCTTCTGCATCTCCAAATGTTAGATTTAACCCATAAATGTAAGACTTTCTAGTTAATACAATGCAGATTGCTCCCCAAAGTTGGGCAAGGTACTAACAGAGCTTGTTGCACTTCACTTGGACAGTTTGCCATGCTTACTGTGCGTAATGTGCTTAAAGGATACGTGCACACTGGAGGAGAAGATGCTTAAAGATCCAAGGCGGCTGTATGCAGCTGGTCGCCTTTATCACATTATTGTGCGAAAGCCCTTCAGGTATATTCAGAAGTTTTTTACTTACAAATAAAATTTTGATCAATTGGGGGATTGGAACAAGGGGATTCATTTTGCGGGGTGTTGAGAACAAAGAGGTAGAGGGAGTAAGGTGAGTTGAGTTACATTTGTTCTAGGTAGGTTGCTTTTATTCTTGGGATTGAATCCCGGGATCACTATGCAGCCATTTTGATCATAAATTCAGCTTCTTTATTTATTTATTTAATTATTATTATTATTTATTTATTTTTTTTGCCAATTTGACGGTAATGCATAGCCCTTCAGGTATCTTCAAAAGTTTTTCTGCTCTCACTGAAAATTTTGATGAATTTGAGGATTGCTTATGAGGGAATTCGCTTGTGCGGAGAGTTAAGAACAAAGTGGTAGAGTGAGGAGGGGTAGTGGGCCAGTTCCATGCCAATGTTATTCTGAAAATAACTCCCTAGGGGCACTATGCAACCTTTTTTTTTTTTTGAATGGTAAAACAAACACACACTTTTGCCCACTCCCGGGCTCGAACCCCTCCGGATATGATTATAAATTTAGGAATATTTTGTCAATTTGGCACCTATAATGCATATCAGTCTAGAATTGCGCACAGTTTTTGGGGTATGGAGTCACGAGGGGTTCCAAAAGCTGCAGATAACAATGTTGTGACTTTTGACTGACACGGCCAAACAGATCGGGCTATCTCCGCTTGGTTGTTCCTTGAGAAACATGCGACTATGGTTTCTTCATTCGAAGTAATGATAATAACACCAGAAATAGGATTATAGGGAGAGTACCTCCGGATATGTTTTGTAAAGTATTATAGGGCCTATTTTCCAGACTGGTTATATGCTGCCATAGTTTTTGAGCCCTTTTTCCAGTTTTAAAAGCATAATTGAACTCGTGTATGTAAATTTCTATGCTCATATTCTTGGTTGCAGGATGGGAAAAATTCCCCCAGTTGTTAGGACTGCAGTACCTGTGGATGGGAGGTTTGAGCACTTAGTCCTTTCTTGCAACATGACTTCCGACCACGCTATTATTTGGATAGAAAGAGAATCTCAAAGGGCTCTTGATGTAAGTTTTGAACTTTTTGAAGGTAATAGGGTAGGTTAGTTGGTGTCGATAAAAGCAACATTCAAGCCTCTTTTCATCCCTGCTTCCTGATTTTAAAATCTTGTTGACTTTTCAGTTCACTTAGCACTATAATTTGCTTAAGTGAAGGCAGATTTCTCATTATCACAGCGTTACACAAAGTACTCAGAAACTTTAGTTGCATCAGCTTTAGCAATTCTCAGTGCATTTGATGATAAGCACTTTCGGCTTGCTTCTGAAATCAAAAGTTTGCCCAATGACCATTGTCAGAGCCAAAAGACCTTTCTTCTCTGAGAAAGCTTGTTTCTGTTCAGTATCATTAGCAAACAAACAAAACATGCAACTTATCCTAGAAAAATTCCCAAAATCTGCTGATTTGTAAGAGATTGAATAGGTAATATTAGGGATTCCAGATTCAAGCATGAGAATTTGCTTTATTTCAAATATTCTGGATAAAATGCTTTCTAGATTGTCTGAGACCTTGCAATTGGTATTGGTTTTTGTGGACTTCTTACATTCACATCAAAGGGTTTACTATTTACTAATATAGTGTAGCCTTTACTATTCATACAATCCCTTGTTTCACTCATATACTACGATTGTGTAGGTTTTAGTGACTTGAAGGTTAGGTTAGAGTTTCGGAGGGCATTTTGAAAACGTGGAAGCAAATTGTTCCATTTTATATAGGCATGTTGGCATTCCAGTCCCTTCCAAATTGTTCCTGGGAGTTGATGAGATTAAGATAAGTTTATTTCCTTGTTTGCTTGAGATCTCCACATGATAGCCTGGAAAAACAAAATGGAATGATCTCATTTCTATGCATTTGTAAATATAGGTGAAGATTTGAGTACTTGCTTTTATCCTTGTAATGAAATTTAAACATCTTTTATCTTGCATTCAGTTAATGCTAGAGAAAGACCAGGTTATGGAGATTCCGGCAAAGCAGAGGATGGAGCGGCAGGAATCTCTTGCCAAAGAACACAGCGAGGAGTACATAGCAGCATTACAGAGGGCTGCTTCTTTGGATGTCCCTCACACTTTCTCGCCTTCTACATATGGAACATTCCATGAAATAGAGGGAGGGGAGGATTCCAGCAGACTAAATTGGGGAGCATCATTCGCGTCATCAAATAGGAGAAAGAGCTGGAGTGAATTTGTAGCGCGTCTTTTTGACACAGACGAGTCTGGCGAGATGGTGCTGAAGAAGTAAGAATAGGATAACTGTTGCTTAGCCAAACCACATTCATTATTTCATTCATGTTATTCCCTTGTTTGGGAACACCATGATGGGCCTAGGTAAAATTATACCTTGGTTGGATTTTAGATAGTTTTTTTTTTTTTTTTTGGCCACTGTGTATAGGATAACCGTTTGAAAGAACACTTTGGTTATATAATGAAATAAACAATGAGTAGAATCTTTGTCATTCTACTGTAATTGCTTTACATACATCTGTCAAAGTGGAGACAGTTTATTACTATTTAAGGAATGCATGTCTACATGTACTATTGTTTTGGGCAGTGAGGACTTTAAGAGCAAAATCATTTTGGCTATTTGAGCCCAGAGTAACTCAATGCAATCCTCTATTCAGACTTCTATTCTTATCATTTTTAAAATTTCTTTTATTTCTCTACCTTGTTCACCATTTATCTTTTCAAACAGCCCCTGTAAATCTGTAATGCTCTATTAGCATGCAAGGTCAGAGTTTCTTGACTTTATGTGTTTTTAGTTCAGTGAAAAACAGTGAGACCAAGGATAGCAAAATATAACCTCTACCTCCATTTATTTATTTATTTTATTTATTTATTTTTTTCCAACCGATTACGGTGTCTTTTATTTGAAAAATGTAAGAGACTCACTCGTCATTGATTCAAATCCATTTGTTGGCATCAGTGCCTGGTATATTCAACCACTACGCAATAGGTGGAGGCCAGTTTGTGTCATCTTTATTCTGTTAAGAAGCTTCCCTTCATTCATGCTCTCACTGATGAATTCAAATTAAACAAGTATCAATTTTACTCTAATTCATTTGGACCTTTTTTTTTTTTACCAGACTAACATTCTATCCTAGGTTAGCAAACAATGCCAAAAAAACGACTCAGATATAGAGAGTTGGCTAATTTCCTTTGCCATTTCATTTGCATAGGTGCCTCCGGAGTTCGGACTGATATATACACCCCACCAGACGTCTGTGGGGAAGAGAAATAATACATGAGATGGAAATCCCTTTCCTTTGAACTATGACGGGACATTGATAACTGCTTCCCCTGCAACAGAAATGAAACAAGTATCAATTTACTCTTATTCATTATATATATTTTTTTTCAGGCATAATCCTAATTCATATAAAAAGAAAACTAACCAAACAACTCAATAGTTATGCTTAGATTTTATATGTAAAAAAAATACCCATTTAGAGAAAAAAGAAAGGAAAAAAAAAAAAAAAAACCATGGTACTTTTCGGGAAAAAAGAAAAAAAGACCATGATGCAAGAGAGAGACCAATCGTTATTCAAATGTTTTTATATGTACATAATTGATTCAATAGGAAACTTGAATGTGTGAAATGAAATCACAACCTATGGGAATTCAGATCCAACCCCTCCACCCCAAGAACATTGAAAAAGTACAATAAAGTAACATGTGTAATATCATTTTTAGTTTTTCTCAACATGTTTCTTCTCTACAGCCACTGCCATTGATGATCCTCAAGGCACACAATGTAATATCATGTGTGCCCTCAAGGGTTGAACAAAAGTACAATCATGTGGAAGCAAAGCAACGTACTCTGTTTGGTAAGCAAGAAAATGAAGGAAAGCATAAAAAATAAAAATAAAAATAAAAATAAAAAAAACCAATGGGTCAGTGGCCTAGCAGAATCAGCCTCATACTTCCCAAAGGGAGGTCAGGGGTTCAAGTCTCAGAAGAGACGTGTGTGTGAGTACCAACTAGGAAAAAAATAAAAAAGGAAAGCAAAAAAAATCCCCAAAATTTGAACCTTATAAAAAGTTAAAGACCAATCAATAAAAGTCTGGATTCCTTTTTCCACAGCTCAGTATGCATTTCTTCTAATTTTTCTCAATTTTTTGCAAGATCTCAAAACCCTAATTTCTCCATACTTCTCTCTCATCTCTCATTCTCAACTGAACCAAGGTATCTCATTCTTCTCAATTTTTTGCAAGATTTCAAAACCCTAGTTTCTCCCTTTTCTCTTTCCACAATATATTATTCTCATCATTTTCAGAATTTCATAACCTTTGGTTTCTTGCTGGCATGGTTAGAGAGAGAGGGGAGAGAGGACCAAGTTTGGGGACGTGGGTAGGAGGAAAGGGAGCCTGATCTGGAATGTTAAGGCAGTGTTTGCCTTGGCATTGTTTCCTTTTTGTTTTCTTAACTGAAACACCAACGTTTTAGACTGATCTACATCTCCTTTTTTTTTCGTTGACGTGGTCGAATTTTGGCCACTGAATTTAGCAGCGGATAGAAGCGAACTGAAGTTAGGAACGTAAAGGATCCTGGTCCCTAAAAAAACATGTTAAAAAGCTCACCTCACAGATGATGAACAAGAAGAAAATGACATCATAAATATGATCCGAATCCTCAAAGAGAGGAATCAGTTTCCTTCCACACCCGGATGTCACTAATCATCAAATAATATCAATTGACTTACAGTGATTGCCACAATTTAAAAGTTAAAAGAAGGTTTTTAATGTTTACCATGCAATCGCTTGACAAATCGTTCAAATTCCATGAAGTTGAGTCTTTCCAGGAGAAGTGGGCTGAGCCTGAGGTAAGTAAAAGCAGAAAAATGCCTCCCATCTGGATCATTCAAAGGCTTGGCTTTATCCAATATGCTGTTGTAGCCTTCCCGGTCATGGCAGGGAAGAACATTTGCACTAGCAACCGGAATGCGAACATCCCAGGCAGCATTCAGCACCTGATAATGAAATTTAATGTTACAGTTTTCTCCTAAAGAAAAATCTGTTCTTAAAGAAATGAAAAACTAAATAAATAAATATCAAAGCTTCTCAGGAGTTCTCTCCAGTGCTTGTAATGCTTACTTGCCGGGCTAACCCCTCAGGATCCACCAGTGACTCTGAGAAGTTAAGATGCTGATGGAACATGCCTGATTCAGCACATGTGAAACTTAGGGCAGCTCCATGTTTCTTTAACATTGCCATAATTGCAGCATAACCATCACGATTGCATGGGTTGTAAAAGCCAGCTGTTAATTCAGCAGCATGACTAGCTGTCTTGTACCACCAGTGAATACCTGATAGCTGCTCAGAATTAAAATGTGGAGAAGAACTGGATCAAGCCACAACTAGTAAATATATAGAAAACAAAGTTTCCATGGAGTACAATCTAAGCATTAAACAAATGAACTTAATGCAGACAAATACCTAAAAAATTCCATTTCTGGTACTTGTGGACTAGTCAAGATGTATTAGCATTACATGTTAAATGTTGGCCAAACCAAGGCATAAATGAAAATAATATTTTCTTACAATTTTACTAAATCACGAGCCAAGTAGCAATATTTTCTATTGTTGAAGTTGTAAAAGGGCCAAGATTTAGTGTCAATTGGGAATGAGTACATGAGTTGAGCATGCCTCTAGGCAAAACCTACAGTGAGTAAAAAAGAAAATCATACCAATAGAAATGGGGCAAGAAACAAATTATATTGATCTCATAAAGTCATATCCAATAAGATAAAAGGTATATGTAAATAATAATAATAATAATAATCACTAAATATGCTAATAAATGCATGCTTAAAGGCTGGTGTTAAAATATACTCTAAACACGATCATCTTCTTAAATATAAATTCTCTCCTTTCCGAAGTCCAAGTACATGATTAACCAGCACAATCAGCAGAAATTTTAGCTTCCCACTTTAATAGTGGGTAAAAGTAGGTCTTCTCATATTGGCATGTACCACCAAAAAAAGGCGACGTAAGATAACCGCCAAGGATTATGAAATGTGACAAGAGAGATCCCAGCCATCTGGCACATGACACAGGGCAAATAATTTAAACCACCGAGCCAATAAGCAAGGGCAGCAATAACACCACAATTTGGTGAGTATCACCAAATAAAGGCAGGCAATTACAATGGTTAAAACGGCCAGAGAAGGCTGTGGTATATATGGAATCTCTTATATTATGGATCCTTAACTCTCCCAAGTGTGACCAACTCCCCGAGGTTGAGGCAGTGATGGAAGCTTCTATCTGAAATTATTCTGACATGAGTTTGGTGCATGGCTACATCACAAGGAGATACTCCATGCAATAGTTCTGCAGTCATGAGGCCCACTGGCACATGGGATGCTAGGTATTGATCTAGAACAAGGGCTCAGGTTGGCAAACAGTTAACAGATACTACATCTGTCTATTGCTCATTATTTTGCCCCAAAATTCTCCCAGCTCGACCTCCAAAATATTCCCATCTTGACAAAGTTTTTAAACACCCCTTCCTCGTCCTTTAGATCTCAGCAAGCCAGACACACAGATGTGAGGCTGAAAAGTCTCCTTGTTAATGAAAAAGCGTAGTATTTTTTTTAAGAAGGAAGAAATATATACATAAATGGTTGCATGTTTGAATAACTTTACTGGGTAGTTTATTTCAGCTGATCCTCTCTCTCATATGGTCAATACATGAGGAGACAAAGCAGATAAATTTGACTAGGGATAGAAAGGAGATTTCAAGCCCTTCCACATCTTTCATTTCCAGGGATATATATATATATATATAAATATAAGAACTGGTTTAACCTTATCCTACATGATATGATCAAGAATTATGGTCTAGACCCTACTGTCAAGACACTAAAAACTGGAGTATTTCTATAATTTGATATGGCTTATACAATCAACAATGCTACACGAATTATCTAATCATTTATGACCCAGGTGGAGATGTGGAAGACAAATCTAGATAACTTATATACATATCTGGGTAACATACAAAACAATGCTATCTAACATATATATCTGGTCAAAAGGAAAAAAGATGGATGAACCTTTTGGACGTGTAGCAATAGAGAACCTCCAGTTAACATACTTAAAATATAAGCACAACTCAAAAAGCTTTCGCATCATTTACAACACTTTTGATACTAGAAAATAAATAGATAATCTTGGGTTGTAAGCTGAAATTTGGTAAGAAAATCTATCTTCAAGAAAAGAAACAAGGAAGTTTGAAAAGCTGACCCACCTTTGCAGCAATGCAAGTGTCTTCAAATGCTAACTTAGCCAGAGAAAGTACCAGATCACCATGGTCAACCAAAACCAGGGAGTACCAATTTAGAAAGAACCTGCCATAATAGCCATCATAATCACCTCCATCACAAAAAAATCCGGTTTCATGTGGCCGGGAATTGTAGGATCCTGCATTATCTGGTCCTTGTGCCCAAAAGGAGTGTCCCCGTGCTTCAGCTGCCTTCCTCAGGCTTTTCAACAAATACTGATCATAACACTACGAAAGAACGTGCCAAGTTGATGTTCAGGAAAAAAAGAAAAACAAATGCACAGTTTCACATGAAAATGACATTGACAAGTGGTTGGTGAAGCTTTCATGAGAATATACTGCATGCCTATATCAACTAGAGCAAAGCAACCTATCTAAGTCCTCATGATTAACATAAGTATTTTCAAAAGCCAATTAAAAAATTGAATTTGAAAAATCAATTCCCTCAAAACCTCAGTCCATTCAATCATAATCATTTCTACATATCTGGATTCAAAGTCATCATCAAAAGCTGGTACTTCAGTAAATGGAAAACAGGTGATGATATAAGGTGAACAGAAAAAAGTAAATCAAGAGAGAGATTGTACAGCCTAACAGATTTTGGGAAAAGTTTTTTGGCACCCTTTCAACTTCTCAATTGAATTTCATATAGACAAACAAAGAACTACAATGTGCTATTAGTTTTTATATTTCTTCTTACAATGGCTTCCACTTTTTTTTAGGTTATCATGTCCAACCTACCTCCTCAGCAGCAAAATGAAAAAGAAGGAAAAATAGAGGAAAGGATAAAAGCAAAAAGAGAAAAAGAAAACAAAAAAAAAAAAAAAACAGTGGAAAATTTGAGATGGAGAAAATTGAATTCTTACATTTGACGGCCCAGAAATTTGACCAATGCACCAATCACCATCCCTTGGAATATAGTTTTAGTGCTGTAGTAAATTACCTGGAATTCTCCAAGGCCTGGATATCTCCAACCATGCTTTACAGGATTAGATGGGTATCTTAGCTCCCCACAGGGACCTAATCCAATTTCAACCATAGAGATGATACCATCCTCAAATAACTCGTCAAATTCCACCCGAAAGCTTCTCATGTAGTCAAAATAAACCTACATCAGTTTTTCACAATATAAAAACACTACCTCTAAATCAAGTAAGCTCTATAAGGTCTAGTCAAAATTAATATTTGCATGGCACAAGGAAGAAACTAAAAAGACAACTTTAAACAGAAACCAAGCCTACTCATCTGGCATATAAAACCGACTTATTTGAATTGCTTTTCAGGAAAAACATGAACATTATGAATCAGAGCAGCTCAGGACACAACTTAATTGTAGATTTGCCTGTGCCAAATAATAATAATAATATAAAACAATAAATTCTATGCTCATTTAAAAAAATGCAATAAATTAAATATTTTATAAAAGGAATTAGGTTTTGGCAGTTTTATTTATTAATTAATGTTTTTTTTTTTACTCTTTCGTAATCAGTCCAAAAAGTGGTTCTACAATAATCGTTGAAAAAAAAAAAAAACAAAGAAATAGAAATGTTAATTTTTTATAGGTTGGCAGTTGCTTAATCCTAACTTTCAAGAAAATGGCAAGAGAACATGAAAAATTATGTGGGCACAGGGTGACAAAAAATTCTCTGTCAGTCACATACAAAAACACATGAATTAAGGTTGAACATAATACCTCTACAGCAGTCCGGCCCCTTAGAAGACGTTCCTTGTCAATTCCCCATGAGAGACATTCAGGGTTACGCCTTCCCTCTCTATCTGTGAAAAATATGTCGGGATTACTTCGACCAATTTCTGCCACCCAATGCGGCAGCGGAATACAAACATCATCGCCGATGTTGCCTCCACATTCATGGAAGGACATTGCAATCTGTGCCAAGTTCAATTCAGAAACTCGTGCAGCATAGATTTTTGGAAGGGTTTACATCCAGAACAAACAATTCAATGAAAAATCAGTTGCTTTTTGCATATTGATTTTAAGCAACAGGTTAAATTCATTGTATTAACATTTCTAAAAATTAATTTAGTATTTGACACACCTCATCTTAACAATAATGAAAAAAGGTAGTTAATCGTCACTGTGGATTTATTATTGTAACATAAAAAAATAAAAATAAGAATGTCTACGAGAGCAATATTGCCCCACTGTCTATGGCTACAGCAAATCAGGACTCCAACCCACTAAACCCATCCCTCCCTTCCCCTTCAAAGTTTCAAACCTGGGCTGCCTCTACCTTACCATGCCAAAATTGAAGCTCACTGAACCACAAATCCTGCTCATACTCATATGTTCTCCAAAACAATATAAGGATGGCTGCTAAACAATTGATCTTAATCAGAGACATGATTTACATTCTCATCCATGCTATTTGCTACAACTCACAAAAAATTCTCAATTCATTAGTGTCAGAAAGAACTTGCAATTGAGATCCAATTCCTTAGTTTCCATATCAATAAGATTAAGAACCTCAGAAGCTAATCACGGCATCATATCAATGGAAATATGTTGACAAATGGTTTTGAGCTCCACAAGCATGAACCCCAATCCATCTTTCGAGGAAGTGAAGATTGGGGAACCACGCACTGCCATAACCACATCCCCCCTTCCCCCCCTCTTCCTCTCTCTCTCTCTCCAGAAAATATAAAATATTTAAGAGCAGTAACATTAGATGTTAGCACAAGAATGGTGACATATATTTGTATAAAACTCACTTGTAACTTGAGCTTAAGCTCACGCACAATCTGAAACAACCTCTTGTAGCCACTCCAGTTATATTCCTGTGGAGCATGTGCTTCTACTATACCCCACCAGCAATCAACCATAACACCATCAGCATTGATCGATTTCAAGACCCTTAGGTGCTTTAGTAGACCATCTGGATCAACAAGCTCACACTTCATATTTATGACACCCAGCTGTCACCGACAAAGTGTAACATATTAAAGTCACCAATTTACTCCAAAAGTGAGCATCGTGATTAACAAGAAGAATAGACCTGAAATACCTACACTCCCTTTGTCACAAAATTCTTGTCCCTTTTTCTATTTTTGGCTGTCCAAAATTCTTGTCCCATTTGAAAAGTTAAATTAAAAAGATTATGTGTATTTTCCAAAATATCATTCACTTTCGAAACTTTTTCCCAGCTAACAATATGAACTTTTAAACTTCAAATGGGTAGTTTTGGAATCTCAAAAGAGACAATGCATTAAATGCATGTTCCCTTAAAGAGTTTTAATTTTTTTTATATCCCCGGAAATTGATCCCTCAAGGAGTTGGACTCCTAAAAAGTGACAAAAATTTTGGGGCGGAGGGAGTAACACTAACATAGTGTAAAATTATCCATTTATAAAACTAACTAGGAAAGAAAGACGAAAATTACAACTTAGTCAGGCCTACTTTTTAACAGTAAGGACCCATAACTCCTAAGAAATTTCATTAAGAAAATTAAAGTTCTACTTTTTGTAAATATTTCAATTTAAGTTCAGAACTCCAACAATGATTTTTTATTTTTTTAGTTTTGCCCTTTCTTATTGAAATACCTTTAATGTCCCTTTTTTTATTTTATTTTTTAAATAAAAAAAGTAACATTTAACAAAATTTCATACTATCTTGGTGCACATTTTTACTACAATATTCTAACATTTACATAAATTTACCTTTAATTACCAAGGATTGTAGCCTAGTGGTATCTCCTCTACCTCACCAATGTGGAGGTGAAGGTTCATGTCCTCATAGAGGCAAATGGGTGTGTGAGTTTCTTGCCAAGGGAATAAAATACCTTTAATTTTGAATTTTTTTCTTTTTAGAAATATCTTGAGTAGAAATGGTTGAATATTTTTTGAAAAAATCTTTGATTTTTCATTAATACCATGAAAAATAAATTTGAGATACTTTTTTGAAATGTTATATTCATGACAAATGGTGTAATTCAAATAGTTTGTTAAACATTTAAGAATATTGCTAAGTTTGGTGGCAAATAAAATTATGTGCCTTTTCATTACTATTTGTATTAATTAGCAAAAAGTAGAGGTATTGAGTTTAATTAGAATTTTAATAAGAGGTCACTAAGAAAGGGCAAAACTGAAAAAAATTATGTAGCTGGAGATATATACAAAAAGTAGGACTTTATTGTCTTAACAAAATTACTAAGGACTTATTGGTCCTTACAATTAAATAGTAAGATTAGCTAGTAATTTTTCCAAGAAAGTACTAAAGAATGATGCATGCCCACAGAGACATTGGTTCACATACAACAGAAATCGATAAGGGAGAATAAATGGAAAAAGCTCCTGCAATTATATCTATAATGAAATGTAGAAATGCATAAAGACAGAGTACTAGTAAAACTGAAAAACTCACTGGTAGCATTACATAAACTGGAACATATGGGGTGCCGACAAAATTGTGCTCCTGCAACTTTGTGGTTATGTCCACTACCTAGCAAAAAGGTTCAGAAACATATATGGTTTGGAACAAATTTAAAAAGCATTCAAAGTGCACAAGAAAACATGGTTAAAGGTTAAATAAAGAAAGTCATATCACATTTACTGAAAAAAAAAAGAACAGAAAGTCTTATCAGAATAATTTGCTCCTTATGATATATTGGTCTGACCCTGACCTATCATTATGAATTTAAGAAATTATGCATCAAGAAATGTACCATTTGAAAATATTATATGCAGGGTTACAGTGTAAGGTCTCCAAAAACCATGGGAAGTTTATGAGATTAGTATATATTTGGTCTGACCCTGACCTATCATTATGAATTTAAGAAATTATGCATCAAGAAATGTACCATTTGAAAATAATATATGCAGGGTTACAGTGTAAGGTCTCCAAAAACCATGGGAAGTTTATGAGATTAGGATATATTTTGCTATCCTCCAATAGACGATGTGGATGGAATAAAATTGATAACAGAAATTGTATCTTGTTGTTCCCATGTTGAGTGCAAATTAAAATTTTAAAAGGTTTATATTTCAGCTTCTGAAATATTATGGAGCTAATGATACCTGCTTGCTATCAACAGTACCCATGGAGCCCCCAACAAGAGGATGATTCTCTGTTCCTTCTCCTTCATCTCCCACCATAACTGAAGCCTGAGACCGAGCACTTGAGGATACATCATAAGGGGATGAAGTGGGCACAATGACACCTTTCATGCAACCTGCATTGTAATCCACCGAACTCTGATAGCCAGAAGCAGTCCCTCTCAGGGAGGCAGGTGCGGTTTGTTGCAGTGGCATATGCGAAGATGATGAAGTCACCACCGCAGTAGACATGCCACCAGTAGGTCTTGCACCCTGTAGTAGTGGAACACAAAAACATTAAAAATCCCTATTTGAACTTTCCTGGGATTTACTGGAGAATTTGGTGCATCATGCACATGAGATGCATGTGATCAAGAATCATGCCCAGAGAAACTGGGAAGGAGTGGAGAGGGAGAAAGGGATAATAGGGATGCACCCATCTTCTATACAATTTCACCCCTTGACTTTCCTTTATTTCATACTTCTTGTCATTTTAAGTGGTATAAAAAAATTAGATATTTATCCAGTAGAGACCAAACAAGAAACCATCAGGGCCTAGATTACTATAACATCACACATATTTAGCAACAACAATCACAGAGAATGCAATTCTCAGGCCAGCATGTGTACAAAAAGGATGGTAGTTTCAAGCCCACACAAGTGTATGAGAGAGAGAGAGAGCACTGTAACTAAGATTATTCCTGTTACCATGCAGACTATGCAGTGTGACAACAGGAAAAAGACCCTTCCCAGCTTCCACATTATGCCGAGCAGACAATTCCCTTATACACAGCTAATAACTGGGACACCAACAGCCTGTCTGAGGATCTAGGTAGGCACAGGTAGACAAACAATAACCAGGGATTCATTTGATCACTAAAGCCAAAGTATTGAGACGTAGCCCAGATATTAAGATGGTGGAAGATTGGGTCACTGGAATCTGGATCAAACATTTGGTCAATTGGTCAGACCAAAATAACATAAATATATTTATGTAAATTACCAAAAAATTTGAGAATTAAGAGGTTGGTATGATTCCATTATTAATATGGTTATTGACATAAAAAATTGACTGCAGTTTTAAAAAGATAAGTTTATACATGCAAATGGGTGTAATAAGAATATTATATATATATATGGATGTCATACATGCACACAGACTTTTTATTTTTATTTTATTTGAAATTACTACTGGTCTAGCTGTGAATAAAGATAAATCTGAAGTTTATCTTACTAGAACAGTTAGAAGAAGGAATTCCATTATCAGGACTTTGGGCTGTAAGGTAGGAAATTTACCTTTTACTTATTTAGGACTACCTATATCTGATAAAATGTTGAGGAGAGGTGATTGTTTGAGCTTGGTGGACAAAATTATTGCAATTACTTCTAGATGGAATGGTTTACAGCTGTCTATGGCAGGTAGAGTGGAACTCAGCAGAGCTGTTATAATTCCAATGGTTCAGTACTGGACAGCAGTTTATGCTCTCCCTTTTGCTGTTTCTAGCTGCATTGAAAGGAGAATGAGGAAATTTGTGTGGGGTCATGTTGATAATAGGAAAAAAATGCATGGCTTGAGATGGAAGAAGATTAGTGCCCCTAAAGAGGAAGGGGGTTTGGGGCTGCAAAGAATATAAGATATTAATACTGCTGGGAAAATTTGTCTGGCTTGGGATTTTCTGTTGTCCAAGGACAGGCTTTGGGTAGCATGGTTTAGACAATGCTATTTGAGAAAGGCTTCTTATTGGAATGTGGTTCCTAAAGTTGCTTCTTCTGCTGTATGGAGGAGTATTATTGATGTTAGAGATATTATTAAGACCAATTGCAGATATATTATAGGTACTGGACAGAATATTAAAGTGTTTACGGATCCATGGTGTGAAGGCAAGTTCATAAGAGAAATTTATAACCATAGGATTCTGGGGTATTTGAGTCGTGACAAGAAGATTTGTATGAGTGATTTTATCACACATGGACAATGGGATGAAGGAGAGTTGAGCAATACTACACAGGACATGCTGCTGCTGTTTAAAAACCAGAAGATAACTGGTGGAGAAGATCAGTTGAAATGGACGAAACCTTTTTGTTTTAAAGAAGCATGGGATGCTGCTAGAGTGAATTTGGAGGATGTGGATTGGGCTGTAACATGCTGGAGTGGAGGGAGACCAAGGTGGTCAGTACATTCAGTTCTGGTTATGCAGAAAGCAATTATAACTCAGAATTTTCTGCAGAAAAGAGGATTTGAAATGGCAACAAGATGTTATCTATGCTACAGAGAGGTAGAAACTTTGGATCACTTTGTTCTCTAACTGTGATTATACTCGGAAAGTATGGAATGATTTGTCTGAGACCTGTGAATGGAATTTACAGAGGGGTCTAAGTATTCAAGATTTGGCAAAACAGTTTGTTCAGAATGTGCAAAGAAGAGAAATCAAGAAGATGGCCAGAGTTATTTTTACTGCTACATTGTACTTTATATGGTGGGAAAGGAATAATCGATTATATGATAAGGAAATAAGAGAGGCTAAGGATGTAGCTAAAAGTATTCTATGGGAGGTTCTTGATGTGTTGGGGATGAATCTTCAGGACATTTTGTAATTTTCTATTGTTTGCTAGTATAGGTTGTTTATGTCCTTTTCAGGACTTTGTTTTGTTTTTCTTATGAGGGTATGCCCTCATATGTCTCTTTGTACTACTTTGTTTATATATACAATCCTTTCATTTAGGAAAAAAAAAATTTATTTTATTTTATGGGGAATTGAATTTTAATATAAGTTAGATATCCACTGCTGTATTACAAGTTTACAACACTAGACAAGCATTTGTAGGATCTAATTTAACCCAGTCAAGAACCAACTTGAGACTTGCTCCCTCTTCACAATTTAATGAATTAATAACTCTTTAACAATGTGGACTTTAGTTTAGTACCACCAGCTATTAGCTTGAGTTGAAATTCCTTCTTCTACCAATGGGAGGATGAAGGGTTCAATTCTCAAATGGGACGCGATTGTATGTGTTCTACTTATACAAGAAAAACAAAAAGAAGTGAGTGGTGAACTGGCCTGTTGCATACTTACATTAACTCAATCCTCTTAGAATCAAACTCCAATGGTTCTAAAAATTTTAAGTTTTTTATTTAAAACTAAGCATGTGATATTTTCTACAACCCACCGAGGTTGCACAGATACCTAAAAACCCGGCCAAGTCGGACAAATTTTTACAAGTTGTCTTCTAATCAGATCCACATAAAAAACGTCAGAGGTCCAGGTTGCAAGGAGTCCAACTATCCATGTAGGCCTTATTTTGGTAACACTAAGGTTCAAAATATCCCCAGGTAGGCCATGATGCACTAATATTCAACCTTCAGAGGAGGACATCATCACTTACACATCTGATTATATGAGAAAATCAACCTGTCCTTCCATGATTCCATCCTCTTCTTCCTTTTTCATAAAGTACACCAGTTCACGTTTAACTTTTCCTATGTAGAGTTTCACGGTCAAAGAAAGCACTCATAACTTTAAGATTAATTATAAGATTAAGATAAAGAACTGTTTTTGACACTTGGGCACCACATAAGCATATCCGAAATGCCTAACTACACTGGTTTTCAGTTTGTTTTAATCTATTGACTATGCTCATGATCACATCTCAAAAAAATAAAAAAGATAAAAAATAAAAAATTGTCTGTGCTACCAAATAAGAAGATACACACGTATACACCAGAGATTTAATATACAGAAACATAACCAAAATTTTGTACAATTTATTGACATATCATAGAAAACCAAAGACTTAATGTATGCAACTAAAATCACCAAGATTTCTTACAATCTGTTAAAATGACATAGAAAATAAAACTTTTCCCTTTAAAGATGCATACCTGTGATCCAGAAGGAAAGGTCGTTCCATCAGGAAGAACAACCCAACCAGCTTCCCTTGCCAAGGCCGCAATCACATCATTAATATCAGCTCTAACCCTAAGATTATAGTTTCCATGCCTTCGAAGCCCTGCCAAGATCTTTGCAGTGATTGCCCTCCGCTGCCGCTCTCGTATCTTTGTTCTCTCCTTTTCTTCTAATGGTCTACACCTTCGAGCCACTCCTGGGGACACTGATTGCCCTTGAAATTGCTGTTGATGTTGAAACCAATTATTATTACCAATTGCTGCAATTTCTATATCAACACCTACCATTGCCCGTGTTGCATTATGCTTTTCTTCTTCTTCATCATCATCATCACCGTCATCTTCTTCTTTCACATCCATCTCCATTTCTTCTTCGTCTTCTTCACTCGTTCCAAATTTCTGCATCTCCATTCACCAAATTTAATTCCTTTTACCCTTCTCTTTTGATAGTTTTGCACTCTTATAACCCTATATTATTGATGATTCTGGCTTAATTAGTGAACCACTTGAATATTTCCAAGCATGAGGCAACATGATCAGCAAATTCTGTACCAGCTAGCTCTAGAGTTCTCTGGAAACAATATGAACTTCAAATGAATCATATCTCAAATGAAACAAACCAATAATCGCAAGAAAATATCCCTTAAAGAAACACATAAATACCACAACATTTGTTCTGCATTTCAAAAGTACATTCTTGCTTTGAAAAACAAAATTGGCAATTTAATTTCATGCTCCTGAAAACAAAGAAAAACTCACTGGAATCCATCCAAACAGTACCATAACTAATTTAAGCTTACATCAATTACCAATTACCTCATTGATCAGCTAAAACACTAATTGACAATCTTTTGGCATGGTTCTAAATCCAATTTTTATTTTTTTTTACCAACAAATAGAATGTTTCTTGGCAAGTACAATAAATATACACGTGTGAGAACGGAGAGTTTTGGTAAAATAATGAGACTGTTTCAAAACTTAACACTAATAATCGATTGTTTGCATAGTTCCTAGTCAAAATCTTGAGTTTTCACCCAAAAGTTATAACTTTAAAAGAGTCGCATCTCACATTAATCCAACCAATAATGTCTTAAATATGAAAAAGAAAAAGATGCTTAATTTTGTAAAAACTTGAGCTTTTTCTTTCGAATTTACCTTGTGTTGTCAGCTCAAATGAGGCATATGGATCTCGAGCTTTTTACAAATCTGAGCAGCTAAAGCTTACAATCATTGTTTCCTCCAAAGTTTCCACGTTCTTTCTTCAAACGTAGCTTTCTATTCACATATATATAGAAGCAAATATATATATATATCAGTTTCTACAGTACAATTTCACGTCCTTTCAAATCTGGATAAGAAGCTTTGGACAACAGCTCTAGCTTTTCCACTCCGAAACCTGAATCTAAAGTCAATCCTTGCCGCAAAAGAGCAGATCTATCTACAGGACGCCGAACTGCAAGATTACATTTTCCGGCGGGGCGGCGGGAACGGATGTAACGGAAGAAGACCTTAGAAAACCGAAGGAAGAGGTGGCCGGAGCTCCGGCGAGAGTGGAGTAGATGGGGACAGAGGTACGGTGAGTCTGGGATTTTCCGGCTAAGCTCCGGCTGTGTGTGTGTCAGAGAGAGAGCATTTCTCACGCGTGTGGGACGGAGCAAGCGTGCCTCGGTTTATGGTTTGGCACGGATGAGGCGTGTACGGACTTTGCGAGTCACGCGAGAAGCACGTGCCGGTGTGAGGCGCTGATCGCGCGGGGACACAAGATTTGGGCTTTGTTGTTGCATGGCCACAATCATGTGAGTTGAGAAGTGGTGACCAAGACGCATGCTTCGCGTTTAAGTGTGATTTGGTACCTCTTTTTAATTAGTATTTTGTTCTAAAATTTTGTTTTCCTTTTGTTTAAATAAAGTTATAAATTTATTTTTTTCAAATGACAAAAAAAAAAATTAATAAAGGAAAATTATGCAAAATTCATCTTCTATCAAGTCAATTATACGATACCTCCTCTTGTTAAATTTAATAAATAACTTTTATCATACATTTTTAACCGATATTAAAATCATTTCCTTTTGTTTAAATGAAGTTAGAAATTTAGTTTTTTTAAATGACGAAAAATTTAATAAAGAAAATTTATGTAAAATTTATCTTAAAGTTCAATTATTTTGATTATATATCCTTAACCATGTCAAATATAAAGTCACTTGGAAATAAAGGATAGGGATACATATCCCCTCTTGTTAATTTAATAGATAACTAAAATCAAGCAATCAGATCACCCGATTTTAGCATTAAAATGATCATTTTCTCAAAAAGAAAAAAAAAAAAAGAAAAAAAAAAAGAAAGAAAGATAAAAGATGAAGTAAAAGATTAGTCTCAATGCTTCGAATTCATTCAAAAGCAACTCCCATGATGTTTTAGCTTTCTTTATTTTAAGAAATTTGAATTCATTTATCTTAAATTACGTGCCTATAGTTTCGGATTTTGATTTGAAGTGTTTTGGAAATTTTGGGTGAAGGCAAAGTTCGAATTTTGGAGGCGCCATAGAAAGATTATTCGCTCTCCTTTGCCTCTCCTTTCGTCCTATGGAGCCGATTTTGCGAGGGAGACATTTTGGTTTCGGTGGGAATTAGAATTGTCATCCTAATTTGAAATAGGGGTGTTTAATTCATGTATTCTTGTAAGTCATTATGTGTTAATTTCGTGATATAACATGCTATGATTATCTTGTTGTAGTAATTTGATTGATTAAATGAAAGTACAGGTCATTGTCATGCTTTATATGGTGTTTAATTGTGAAAATAACATGACATCTATGTGGGAAATTGCTAGCATGCCTTATATGATGTATATATGCCAATTTTGTATGTTAGAATGATTATGTGGAAGCATGTTTAAAATAATGAAATTATAAATGCTTTATGATGATATTGTAAAATATGTGTATAACATGATTTGGATATAGCCTTCTTGGTTTTAAGCATGTTTGATGTTTGACAAGTTGATTTCGTGAAGTAATTTGTTGAGTGTTGTTTTGGATTGAGGCATATTTGTATAATATGGTTTTGATGTTGTTGAATGGTATAGGAATTTCACGATGCTAGCCAGGAGCTAGTCATTTTAAGTTGGAAGGCGAGCAATTATTGAGGTATTTTTAGTTCATGCATTAGGTAGGCATCGTGTGAGTGAATGGATGATGTGTAAAGGAAGAGATTCAAGTTGAGGATAGTTGTGATAGACGAAAGACAAGCGGTGGTCTTGTTTCCGAGATTTCGGTAATTAGGCCCCAAATGGTTGGATGAGCGGTAGTCTCACACCAGGAATAGCTAGCTAGTATTCTAAATGATGAACAAGGGGTAGACTTGTGCCATTTGGAGTTAGAGGCCTTTAGTGTGGATTTGTGTAGTGAGATGGATTGGTTGGGAAAATGTAATTGCGTGTAAAATGAGATCATGGGATTGGTTCGGGTGGATTCATAGCATAAGTATTGATTGCATTGTTGGTTTTTGTGGTGGACTTGTATGTGTGTGAATGTGGTTAAATTGATAATTATATATTGTTGCTAATGTCATTTATTGTTAATTCCGTTATTTTCTCCGCGATAGCATGATCCTCTTAGCTTGCTCCCCTTTTTCTATATGTGTTTATTCACGAGGATTATGCATACTCTACTGAGCAGTGGTGCTCACCCTTTTACTTAAAATATTTTTTAGGACTTGCAATAACAAAGAAGATAATAAGCGAACACTTGCTTAGACATGATTAGAAATTTATATTTTGTTGTCTCATCGATTCAAGTTCAATGTAAAGGAATTTATATAATTGTTTTAAGGATGTATTTGGTCAAGCATGATGTTTTGTTGCCATATTATTTATGTAATTATGTTTAAGGTTGTATTTTTGGCCATGGAATCATTTCAAAAATTAGAACATACCCTGTATGTTTAATTTGTATTTTGCATGCCCCACTTATCCATAATCCATACATGTGGTATATTTATTTCCATACAATGTTCCATCATTGAGAAGTTTAGATTTCAGTTTTGAGACCATATGATGTATGATTTTGGGTTAGAAATGCATAGAGGCAATTCCGGTGAGATTTTTTTTGGCTTACTCCCAAGAAGAAGTCGACTCATTTTCTAACTAAGTTGGCTCCTTCCTTATTTAAGCCGACTCAGTTCATCTGGAACTCATTTTTAGAAAAAAGCTTGCTCTCAGTCCAAAGAAGTCGACTCAGTTAGCAAAGAAGCTGGCTCAGTTGGCAAATGAGCCGATTTCTTCCCACTACCTGCCTGTTTTGAAGTCCTATTTTCAAACAACCTCATCTCACTCATTTTAACTCCAAATTAGATCAAGCAACTGAGCCAACTTATTCTCCTGCCTGTTTTGAAGTCCTATTTTCAAACGACCTCATCTCACTCATTTTAATTCCAAATTAGATCAAGTTTGAGCCTAAATTTATGGATTTTAAGTCAACTTTCCAATGATACCAGTCTCATCTACATATTCCATTTGTAAAGAGAGTTACGGCCATTTGAGTACGGAATGCTCTGGAAGTCTTTGTAACCGAAGGGGGCAAATGTGTGAAATTACAATCCTTGCGTCTAGAACCTTGCGATATGGGTTCAAATGACTACCTAAATTTATTTTGATCTTGTATGACTCACTTAGAGTCATTTCATTCATGTTCATACCTTGGACTAATCATTTTACCCTTGAGTAATTACGGGTTCGGGTAAGGACCCAGTTAGTGTTTCGGATCCCTAGGTTTGGATCGTTACATTCACCTTGAAAATGGAAGCAATTGAATGAAATTTATTGGTAAAATTACCTGTTGCAACCAAGGACGGAGCCACTTCATAGTCAGTGGGAACAATTGGATCCATCCCTGGTTGAAACTATTGTTTTTACCTTAGGCCCTCTGACTTAAGTCCTGGTTTTGAATAGGGATGGCAACGGGGGCGGGTTTGGGCAGGCGTACCTTCCCCCGCCCCCGCAACTGTTTAAAAATCTCGCCCCCATCCTCACCCAAAATCACAAAAACGAGGGAACTTTTCAATCCATTTCCGTAACCGTTTAACATTTTTACCCCCGCGGGTATCCGTCCCATCCCGTTTAAGACCATAATTTATTTATTGTTGAAATAGATTTACTCATTTTTTTTTCCCCTCATCTTCAATTCTTCACCATTGCAACTTTTCTTTTAATAAAATTCATTTGTTACTTTAATATTGTTATATAGGGTACTTAATATATAGTGAGAAATATATATATTAATGAAATAAAAGTACTTAAATAATTTACTATCTAAACGGGGCGGTACAGATTTTTATTACATCAAACCATTCCCGCCCAAATAAGCAAAACGATCCCCCAAAACCGCCAAAAACGAGACGGGATAGGGTGGCTAACCGCAGGGCGGGTCAAATTGCCATCCCTAGCACTGATACCACCCTGTAGCCTTTTGACTATTTAATAAGAAAATATATTTACAAATAAAACAAGGCTATTTTATCAATATGATAGCTGCATAGAAATCAGATTACACATGACTTCTTTGTATAGATATGGTTGAAGATTTATCATATTCTAACCAATTTATTTATTTATTTTATTTATTAGTATTTATTTTAAAAAAACTACAAGATAGAAGACAAGTTTGAATTAAATTCTAACAGTTCCATCAGCTGAAGCTCAAGTATGGTCTTCATTTCGTTCCAATTGCAGATCCGGCACAGCTTCCCCTGAATGGATATCAAACAAAAGTCAGTTGTGAATCCACCCATAAGAGACAGTATACTCCACATAATCCACTTATTATTACCTTAATGTGAACTTAGAATTATTACAAACCAAAAAGGCTCATAAGTCAGAATCATAAAGCAATATTTTATTTGTAAAATATTCAATGAAGAAATGTTTTATGATAACAGCAGAACTAATTATTATTCAAATTTATTCCACATAATGCAATTTTTATTACCTTAAAGTACACTTGAAACTTTAATTGATAATTTACTTGTATAATATGCAATGAAGAAACGTCTTTGTGGTAACAGCAAACCTGATTATATTACTCAAATTTATTAAAATATCTCGAGGTGTTATGAGAGAAAATATGAACGCGTATCACCAGGAAGCCGGAGCTGGCATTCCTTTAGTGACCGTCCCAAACATGTAATAATGGCATTCTTTAGTGACCGTCCCAAACATGTAATAATTTTGAAACTTCAAAGAGTTGAATACCCTACAGGAAGAAGTGAAGGACCACTCAGAATGCTGCTTACTGAGACTAAACATCATTTTATTACTCAAATTTATTAAAATATCTCGAGGTGTTTGTATTTCTAACAGTCAGAAAATCATACATACTCAACATATTTATGGGAGAAATATCTCAAGTCTGTTGGTTTGACTAAAGATTCTATGATGTTCATCGATCTCCTTTTATTTGGACCTTGGACCAGCAAATTTGGGAGGTGAAAATTCTGAACATGATCAAGGCAGAATTAAGGCCCGCTTCTATTTAGTAGAATATATCACACCTGTGTAAAGTTGGAGAGATGCAAACTGGGGACAAGTTAAAATCATCAGGGGATGGTACAATCTCAAGGATCAGAAATATTGATTGCACCAATACAAGAACATATGATTCGTGTTAGAGGAACTACTACAAATGCAAATGACAGGCCTACAAAGGGTCAACACTAGATGTCGGCAAAGTCATGACAATCCATTTTTTTAACAACAGAAACGGAGCTAGAGAGAGCTGATGGCAAAGAAAAATTCATTTAGCCCACACAAATTTGGGACAGAGACTTTTCCGAGTTGAGTTGGTGAACCATTAAAAACCAACGAAACTGGCAATCATCTCCAAAGAATGTAAAATCCAATTTTGAAACATGAAAACTTGGCTAAAGGGCAACACTTGATGCATTCTTTGACATGGCAAATGCGAAAGAATGTGTAATTACACAAGAAGGAGCTACAAAGTTAAATGGGGAAGAAATAATGGACTCAAGTTTGGCAAGTGCTCTATCTATCAAAAAAAAAAAAAAGTTCGGCAAGTGCTCTGTCAGCTCTGCTAGACAAGACAATCCATTTTTTTAACAACAGAAACGGAGCTAGAGAGAGCTGATGGCAAAGAAAAATTCATTTAGCCCACACAAATTTGGGACAGAGACTTTTCCGAGTTGAGTTGGTGAACCATTAAAAACCAACGAAACTGGCAATCATCTCCAAAGAATGTAAAATCCAATTTTGAAACATGAAAACTTGGCTAAAGGGCAACACTTGATGCATTCTTTGACATGGCAAATGCGAAAGAATGTGGAATTACACAAGAAGGAGCTACAAAGTTAAATGGGGAAGAAATAATGGACTCAAGTTTGGCAAGTGCTCTATCTATCAAAAAAAAAAAAAAAGTTCGGCAAGTGCTCTGTCAGCTCTGCTAGACAACCGCACCCTTTCCTAGGAATTCAGTGTGTTACACATGTAGCCTTCTTTATGGGCTTGGCTGAGGTAAAAAGATGGGAAGGGAAGTAGTTGTAATTTCAGATCACTACTCCCAAGACTAATCATTAGGGGAAATATCATCTTTTGGCATCTCTGATTTTTTTCTAAAAAAACCAAATTACAAGAGATTATAAAATTGGAGGCATGGATGACATTTCACATCCGTTAAGTGATGGAAAGATGACGGGTGTCAGTGTTACTTTTTTGCAAATTTTTAATCTACCTGCAATAAAGGTAAACCTCGTAATTTACCCTTTTATTGCTAATAATCCGGTTTTTCATGAGCACAACAAGCATATTGAGGTGGATTGTCATTTTATTCAAGATTTGCTGATGTGGAACCAGACTGTTACTCTTTATATTTGCTCTAAAGACCAACTAGGTGATGTTCTTACGAAGCCGCTTGGTCGTCCTGTTTTTCAACGCATGTGTTCGGTGTTCCAAGCTGGGTATGTTTAATTTGTATGCCTCCAGCTTGAGGGGGTGTTACAGAGTTTGGTTTGTTTTTTCTTTTATTCATTAAGGGCATTATTGTCTTTACGTCTACTTTATATATAATAGGTGAGGTGTGTGGGAAAACCCTAACTTTTAACTCACCTTTCACAGAACATTCTTATCTCTCTCTTCTCTTCTTCTTCTTCTCTACTTTTAAAAACCCTAATTTCTTCAATCTTAACTTGAGCATTTAAAGGTGTATAAAATTCTGGAGGATTATGGAGTATCATGGAGTATCGTAGAGTTTGTAAATATCTATGATATTTAACTGGAGAGTTATAAAGGATCTTCACCATTCGTAATAATGCGTTTTAGCTGATGATTTGGGAGGTGAATGCCTATATAAAGTGTGTAACTTTCATTAGTAAAGAGCCCTAAGTTTTGCAAGTGCTTTGTCAGCTCTGTAAGGCAACCACACCACCTCTGGGAATTCATATAGTCTTCTTTATGAAAATAAAAAAGAGACTTTTACCATGCATTCTCTTGACGAATCGTTCAAACTCCATTAAGTTGTGACTGTCCATGAGATCTGGGCCGAGCCTCAGGTAGGTAAAAGTAGATAAATGCTTCCCATCTGGATCATTGAGCGGTTTGGCGTTTTCCAGTATCTTATTGTAGGCTTCTCTATCATAGCAAGGAAGAGCATTCTCACTTGCAACTGGTATGCTAACATCCCATGCAGCATTCAACACCTGAAGTGTGTGAACAACATTCACAAGTAAAGCAAATGAGTAATAGCATATTCATATTCTTTATTCAAACATCGATTATGTGATCCTAATCTAGAAGAATACAAGTCAATAGAATTGTTTGTTGTAAAAAGTGGATAAAACATCAATAAAAATAGGTTGGCATAGCTTTGGGTAGGAAAACTGATCAATCAAGATAGTAGAAGATAGTTTTAAACTAGTAAGCTTGATTATAATCTGAACCTGAGCAAAACCCAGTTGACCTAGTCAACTGAATTTGGACCGCAACTGGAGCAGGATTTTTGAATCAAACCAGCTCCATTAGACAACCTATTTTCAATGCAACCATTCTTTAAATTTGGTTGCACCAAATACATAATTAATTTTCAAAAAAGAAAGCCCTATTGACCATGGAAAAATTCATGCATCCAGGTTATCATAACAAAATTCGTAGTTTCTTACTTGCCAAACTAGTCCCTCAGGGTCTGCCAGTGCCTCTGGAAAGCCCTCATGTTGGTCCAACGTGCGCAACTCAACACATGTGAAATTTAGAGCAGCCCCATGCTTCTTTAACATTGCAGCAATTGGAGCGTAGCCATCGCGATGGCCTCGGTTGTAAAACCCAGCAGTCAATTCAGCAGCATGGCTGGCTGTTTTGTACCACCAATGAATACCAGATAGCTGCTCATCATTCAAAAAGGATTAAAAACAATAATTTGATTGAAAATTTCATTGTGCTCGATAAATTCACCTTTCTCAGACTCCTAAAAGCTGACTCACCTTTGCAGCAATGCAAGTACCTTCAAAAGCCAAATTTGCCAGAGCAAGTACCCGGTCACCATGATCAACAAGAACTTGAGAGTACCATTTAAGGAAGAACCTGCCATAGTAGCTATCATAATCACCTCCATCGCAAAAGAACCTGGTTTCATGTGGTCTGGAATTGTAAGAACCAGCATTATGTGGTCCTCTACCCCAAAGCGAGTGTCCCCTAGCTTCTGCGGCCTTCTTCAGTCTCTTCAACAAGTACTGATCATAACACTGCCAATGCAAAAAAGAGTTTGTGTAAATGCATCAAAGAATCACAAAGTATAGATGGAAATGACGCAGCAAAGGTGCTAAATGCTAATGTGGCAGATTCAACTATCAAATCATTGTTAAAAGATCAAATCCCTTTCCATAATGGCCCCAAGTCAACATGTCCTCGAGTCAAAGATATTTGTCAATAATTCAGAATGTACCTGGAATTCACCAATACCAGGATATTTCCAGCCATGAATTGCAGGATAAGAAGGGTATCGTAGCTCCCCACAAGGACCCAGTCCAATTTCAATCTCAGATATCACTCCATCCTCAAAGAACTCATCAAATTCAACCCGAAAACTTTTCATGTAGTCATAGTAAACCTACATCATAAAAAAAGAAGTAAATAACACATCAGATGATAAATAATTCATTAGTTAAGCTGTGCATAAAAAAAGAAACAACTTTTTGAACGAGTACTTCAAGAATGAAAGATGGTGAAATAAAGTTCAAAATTTTAAATCAAAATACTTTCAAACCTGAGTTTCAAAAACTTAAAGTGGAAGGTGTAGTTCAGTAGGCATGGCTTATTACTAGCAAAATATGGTGAATGACTAGCCCAAAAAGTCTGTGACTACTGCAAAGAAGTAATCGGCAAAGATCATGTGGAGCTGTAAGACGGCTGGCTAATGTATGTTCCAAATAAAAAAGGCAACATAAAACAACTTAAAAATCATTACAGAATGCAATACCTCAGAAGCAGTTCGGCCTCTTAAAACCCGTTCTTTGTCAATTCCCCAAGTGAGGCATTCAGTATTATGCCTTCTTTCTCTATCTGTGAAATATATGTCAGGATTGGTTTGACCAATTTCTCTCACCCATTGAGGTAGTGGAATATAAACATCATCACCAACATTGCCTCCACATTCATGAAATGACATGACAACCTGTGCCGTTTTTTTCCCAAAAAAAAAAAAGGGAGAAGAAGAAATAATTGGCAATCAATCAAGATTGCAGTTTCAAAAAATTAGCAAAAACAACTATATTCTAATGAAGACATGCTATGTTATACACTACTATCAGGTTATAAATGTTGCTCCAATAGTAATTGGACTTCTACACATTCATGCAACTTAAGAATACCAATTCAGCATACTGCAGTCAAAATTGGCTGCCAATCACGTATGCCATCTAACAAGATCAGGCTTTTGATATTCATCACTGTTCCCCCCCACCCATTAAACCACATTTTTTAACTTCAATAAAGTTTGAAGTTAAAAAATTCTCAACTACTAGCATCCAATCAATTGACTGGGGATCTAGAAAATAGGGTCTATAGAGCTACAAAACATATCAAGGAAGATGCTGGACTTCCTAAAGATCTGAAATATGCATCTATTCCTAATTGTTTATGATATGATGACGATCAATGTCAGTTGACTCAGTTCAGCACTTCAGATATAGGTAAAATGAAACATGCCACCTTTTTCCAAAGACAATATTGCATTAGCAATACAGAATTGCCTGTCTACAAAGATATACAAGATCCCGCAGAAAACAACAAGAGGGCAAAAAGAACACTACAATAAACAAGGACATGTTCTGAAAATGTCTGACAGAGGAAGTCCTTTAAATTCAGATATACAAGAGCATCAATAAGCCAGCACATTCAAATTTAAGTAAACGTAAAAGAAAGCCATAATTTTGAGGATACAACATCAACCATGTCCATCCCTATTTTCAAATCCTTAATATTCTATTGTGTCTCTCCCGCTAAACTATCAAAGAATACAAATAATGAAAATCTCTACCGAGTCCCTTAGAGCACAAAGCTTTGACACTATATCTATCCACAAGCTTCCGAAGTCCTAATAGACAAAGGCATAACCATGACAAAGTTGACAAACCAAATCTCCTTAGAATGAGGAACCAAATCTCAAACTTAGAGAGCCATGGATGAATAATATACTAGTAAATTCAGATCTGACATAGAAGAACGTAAAATATGGGAATTGTCATTTTCTAGAAATAAGGTTGTTAGATAATTAGAGAGTCAAAAGTCAAACACTTGTCCAAAAATAACTTAGTAAATCAAGAATCCACTTTAACAAGTAGCAGAGATTCCTGGTTTTGAGGGAATATAGCCCCATCTGGATCCATAAAGGATAAGAAACAAAACTTCAATGGAAAAACTCATGACAATAACACCATCTTCTTACATAAACCTGTTGCCAGAGGCTTATTTGTTATCTTATGTGTAATTTAGTGACCTAGCAATATCAGACCCTTACTTCCTAAAGGGAGGTCAAGGGTTCAAGCCTCAGTGGAGGCATGTGTGTGTGAGTACCAACTGTGAAAAAAAAAAGAATGTGGTGGAAGGATGAAAGTATTTCTTTCATTCTTCCTTTCTTCCCCATCTCTCTCTCTTTTTCTCTCCTCCACCTCCTCCTCTTCTTCATCCTCTTCTACTTTACTCTTGTTTTGATCATCTCTTAAAGTCGACAAAACGACCCTGCCCCAATCTCAAGAAAAACAATGCACCAACAAACTATGATACGTATTTTCATCTTTTAAGTCCTGAAATTCAACAAAAAGGAGAAGACTGAATAATTTCATGAGACCTTTTGGAGAAGTTTAAGTAATCATAATCCAGTCTTACAGTCTTATCCATAGCAAACATGTGGAAATCATATTTACTTTTTATGGTCTCACAAGTAATGAAGTATAAAAAGGCCATTACCCAGGGTGTTGGAAGGGATGACAGGAGGCAGACCTAACATTTTGGCATAAATTTGCACAAACTGGCTACTGACATATTCAGACCCATGCTGTCACCCTATGAAGCACCGACATGCCTGGGATAGCCAACATACCAGTGTCGGACATGTGTCAGACACAAACACGCGTGTCGGAGGCTTGGACACGCGTCCGACACTCCTCAGCCGTCCGGACACACCGTCACACATATGAAGATGAACACAGAGAGGCAATTAGTTCCATAGTCCTAATATATTTTGTTTGTGTGTGGTGTGCGCATATAGACATATATCTAAATTACACATATATAAATATACATATACACATTTAAAGAGAGATAAATCTAAAACTTGTGAAGAGATGAAGGGATGATAGAGAATCTGCTGGGAGAGAGGGAGCCGTGTACGAAGGAGAGAGATAGAGACGGAGGGGATGAGAAAGAAACAACAGGAACATCAAAAACGTTGAGAATGTGCATGAAGGCTCACTGGACTGGTAGATGAAGACACTGCATTGCAGTAGTGTGGATCGATATGATCAAGAACTCTGATGATTTTACCTTTTTAGTTTGTAGTTGTAATTCTTAGTCAATTGTCAACCATCTAGAATTATCTAGCACAATCCATTGGGCTATGATTAGTTGATTCAGGGCATGGACTTTGTTTTGCCTATGATATGTTTTCTTTTGGGCCTCCGGGCCTTGACACTCCAGCCCAAGCTGTAGCATTTGTAATTACCTTTATCTTTATGAGTATTTATGACAAGTTGAAAAAGAAATTAATTTTTTTATATATAATAAAATAATTATCTTATTAATTAATTGCCGTGTCCGTGCCCGTGCTTCATATCTGTCACCTTTGCTACCATTACACCAAATAAAATAAAAGGCAGAATCCAATCTCAATGAAGATGTGAGGATAACATCAGTAGCTTTTCTATAGGCCTATCTCCGAGTAGATCAGAATAATTTTTTTTTATTCATTGCGAAATTGGATCTGATGCAGAAAGTGATAGTGTAATGCACAAGCTGTAAGGTGGACTATAAGCCACACTCATCATCACTTTCTTTCTTAGGAATAGAAGATCTACCATAAGAATTTTACCAAAAGGATAGAACGAGTTAAATGGATCCTTTCTGCCAGTTCCTCCCCAACTTTTACAGTTTGGACTTGGGAGTGATTATAATAGAGCTGGGCCAATAGGATTTCCAAAAGATTGAAGCTCTCATATCCCAATCCTATAAGCTATTAACGTCTATGAGAGGGAAGGGGGGAAAACCCTTCTCAAACTTATATATTATATAATTACTGGCAGTTATATCTTTCTTTACAGCTACTCTTGGCAAAATGATTCTAACAATCCAAATAACCTGAACTTGAACCTCTCATAATGACAACAAAGAAGCTAAAACCTAACTCCAAAAAGATAAGGAAACAAAAATAGATATTTAAAAGAAAAAACAAATTGTTCCATACATTTCCCTTAAACACTAACAATGACAATTAGTATCTGAAAGAAACTCCAACACCACAACCTTTCCACCCTGCCCCGAATCTCCATAGCCATTTCTCCACAAAAAAACTCATAAGCAATGTCAATAATTGAAGAACAAGTACCCCACTTCTTTATCCTCCCATTACATATCTTTTCCAACTCCACTATATGATAACAATACTAAAGGAAAAAATGAAGTCTGGCATTCTTACTTAAGTCATATTTTTCCTTCTTCGGCATAGTTTTAAGTCCTTCCTATATAGACAATGGCAATAAAGAAAAAATAAACCATCGTTTAAGTTTATATCTCTCACTTATAATGATACTCTACAATGTCCTTGAATGATGTATTCTCCATTATTTCTAAATCCACATGCAATTTGAAATCTTCACTTCGAAACAGATCAGTCAAAGAGAGTTTTCCAATCGGTACAGATAAATATCAACTACAATTCTTGTGTGAGAGAAAAACTGTTTATAATTCCAAATGCTATAACATACTTAGCAACGTATGTCTCATTATCTACCAAGAGCTTAGCTCTAATGGAATCTCCTCTACTTTCCAAGTGGAAGGTTGAGGGTTCAAGTTCCCATAAAGGGAAATGTGTGTGTATTTCTTAAAAAGGGGAAAAAGAAAAAAGATAACAATGTTTCATTCTACTTACTTGTAACTTGAGCTTAAGGTCACGCACAATCTGAAAGAGCCTCTTGTAGCCACTCCAGTTATATTGCTGTGGACCATGTGCCTCCACTATCCCCCACCAGCAGTCAACCATAACACCATCAACATTAACTGACTTCAAGATCCTCATCTCGTTTATCAGATCATCTGGATCAACCAACTCACATTCCATATTGATGACACCCAGCTGTCCCCATAAAAAATATATGCAAGACATGACAACATTCAGAGCCATAGAGACAGGAACAATATATGTGCATTAGCACAAGTCAGCACAAAGAAAATCCCAAGAGTGATCTGCATCCCCACCAAGACTAACACAGAGAAAAACATGATGGAGTTTTGACAATGAAAGGGAATCTCTAAAGTAAAATAAGAATTATACATATACATCAACAATAAAATCATATAACTCACTGGTAGCATCACATATACTGGAACATAAGGTGTGTCAGAAAAATCTCGCTCCAGCAACTTTGGAGGCAAGTCCACAACCTATTAAAAAAAAAAAATCAAAAGTTAAGTAAATTGAGATCATCTTAACCAGCAATCACATTGTAGATATGATTCGCAAGCATCATTATAGATCCAGCCAATGATTTAAGGACAATTATTTTGTGTTTGTGAAAACTAGTTCAATTTCAAGCCATTTTTGTGAATGCGAAGATTTGGCAATAGGTATCCGAGAAAACTGCAATTCAAAAGCAATGTATTGGTACATGCAGCATTTCCTCTGAAAATTACATAAATTAATTTCCCGAGTTATACTTGATGCATTTGCTTTGCTTCCAACCAAATGTTCACATAAAAGTGCATCCCCAATCACCATAGCATGACATGTTGCATTCTTTTAGCAGAATAAAAACAATGAAAATGCAACACCTCATGTTATGATGATTGAGGATGCATTTCTAATTCACTGAAATATTCAAATTATAATGGAATAGAACCCACAGTTGAACAGACCATAGTCTACAGATTCTCTATGCCAAAAATGTCCCTGCCAAATTCTTTGGTATCTAGGGTCATTCAAAATGGCTTTGACTGTTAAAGAGACAGATTGAATGATTTAAAATCACACTATCAGCCCTTTATTGATGATGGCAAAGATAGGACATGTATAATCTTAACATGATAGGACTCGCCACTAAATTGGAATCACGCAATATACTTCAACCGGTGATTCAATCACTAAGACTTCATAACTTTTGAACTTTATACAATACACTCAGGTCTCCCAAACTATTAAACAAAATCAGATGGTCCAATATATTTGGCACGGACTAGAACACTAAATTGACAAGGTAAAGTCAAATGGTTTAACAAAATTACATGGCCATCTCATATCTGTTAATTGTAGCCCAACCTTCAGGAGACTGCCATGTAATCTCTTCCCATTCGAGGTCATCAGGATCTGTAGATTTGAAACTTTTGTAAAAACCACCACCATCAAATAAACAAAAATACGCTTAATCGATCAGGACAGCCAAGAGTGAAGATTAATGGCCAAGAGAAGCTGAAGAATAAATAAATCCATATCTCTGATCAAAGTTATCCAGAAAAGGGATACAGAAGACGACTTCGTCCATAGGATTACAATAACATAGATGAAATGGAAAAGTTCGTCTGCAGCGTTCTACGATTGTAGAATGTCTGCTAAGTTAAATATAAAGTTTTCAACATGGCACTAAGACCACTGTTTGGAAGATTAAAAAAACAACAAATGAATGCCTTTATGGAATTAAGGGTGGCACTGATTGAGAAGAATAAATGAGGGTTACCTAAAATTGTCAGGCCCTGAACACATACCAGTTAATGTAAAGAGTGCTTTGACCCATGTTGATAGTGCTAGGTGATGAGAAAAGGAAGCCCATTTGAGTCTGGGTTTAATCCATGAGAAAAGACACAATTGCGTTGAATTAACCAATTAGATGACTTAAAATATAAAACAAACAGAAGAAGACAAATCCATGTTGTTTGACCCAAATTTCTAGTGGGTAAGGCTCGTTGAGTTGAGTTGAAGTTAGGATAATGAACGGGTTGACTACTTTGATTGCTTTTAACCAAATTCTTGACATCCTTCAAACTTCTCCTTGCCTAGACAGTGCCCCTGTCCACTTCTTAATTAAGCAACCAGAGTCTTCTCTTCACTTGAGCAAACCATCTCATATATCTTACACCAATATGTTTTTGTTTTTGCTTTTTTTTATAAGATCTTCTCATTATAATGCTACTCAAAGGTTCTCATGAATGCTTTTGCTTCAAATGCAACAATGTTCCTCCTCAAAATTTTCTCAAGTTTTATTGTACATAACCTTGTAGAGTACTTAATAGATTGAAGATGAGAACAAGAAGAGCATGTACTATGGAAACTCCTCATCGACATAGATGTACCAAAAAAAAAAAAAAAAAAAAACCTTTAAACAATATCTTAACCTCCATGGTCATACTTCAGTGCAAATTCAGACCTCAACTATTTTTTTTGATAAATACCATCCTTAAAAAGCTTCTAATCAGATCCTTAAAAATACAAACAATTGCTAATGTCGCAAATGTATTCAATGCCTGGTAAGTGTTAAATTTCCTTCGCTTACATGGACTTTGTTCAATAATTGTTCTTTCTTTCATCTCACGAACCATCAATTTTTCTTTTTCTTTTTTTTTTTTTTGTTTTTTTTAAAACAAAAATCTAACATGATCTTTAAATGTCATTTTCCATTTTTCTTCTTTTCTTCTATTTTTTATTTTTTGGGCAAGTCAAAGTCTTAGCTTTACTAATTTGTTAACTTCTTCACCATCCATTGATCTAAGTTGCACAAAAGTAACCACCACACACTAAATATAACCTTTTTTTTTTACAAAATTTCTTACCTAAACCTCTCAAATTTTTGTAATTTTTCTGCAATTTAATCACAGACCTAATAACATGCAAATACTTAACAGTTACCACAACTACATAACCCCACTTCTTGCCAATTGCAATGCAAAATAAAAATGTAACACAAGCTCATACTTACACTATTACATAATCATACTTGTCTTAATTACCAAGCACAAACAATTCAAACTTAAAAATTAAAAAAAAAAAAAACACAATTACCAGATCTAACAACAAAACCACGGAATGTCAAGAAAAAGAATTGCACTCCAAGATTTGGAAACAAATTAATAAAAGTAAATATAATTGCATTTTACCTGATTGTCATTAACAGTGTCCATTGAACCATCATCAAGAAGAGGATGATCCTCGGTTCTGTCTTCTCTGTCTCTCAAGATCGCCGAAGTACGAGTCCGAGCTCCAGTATTTACGCCCCGAAAGCAACACGAACGGTAGTACACTGACCTCCGGTGACCGGAAGAGACTCGTGACGAAGCTAGGAAGACCGCCGATGGCACTATCTGTGACAACGACGAAGCCATAGTAGAAGAAAATAGAGTATTGGGAGCCTGAGAGGTCTCACACTGTGAAATGGTTGAGCATTAGAGAGAGTAGCGGGGAAGATATGATTGATCCGAGAGAGTTAATTTCATTTAAAACATTGATGAATATACTTTTTCATTACTTCTTAAAATTGTCTTATTTTTATCACTTCATATGCTTTTGTGCCGATTCAAAAAAAAACTTTCTTTAATTTGAAGTGCACTTAATTTTATTTTATTTATTTTTTAACCGATCCTCAACCTTTTAAGAATGGAGATGGTTGATTTCAAACCAATATCAAAATCATCTAAATAAATAAATTTATTCCTTAAAAAAATATACAATAATACTGCTAATTAAAAGTATATTACATGGCATTTATTATTATTATTATTATTATTATTATTATTAATTTTCCAACATCACATCACGCGCATCAATAACTACTTTTTTGAAATATCTGTTGGGTTGCATTACGATATGCTACCGACACCATCATCACACAGAAGACCACATTAATACCTTTCAAAAAAAAAAACACAAGGAAAAAGAAAAAAGAACACATTACAGAGGACACACCAACACGGCGCCAAAACTAGCTAATACCTTATCTTTTGTTTTTCTCCTACTAGGTCGATTTTGGATTTTTTTCGTTTAGATTTGATCATTTTCTATTTGTTTGGATCTTATGTGGGTTTTTATGTGTCGAAAAATCTTATGGTTGTAGATTTAGAGCGGTTGCCGTACTGATAGCCAGACTTTTCGATTTATCAGGAGCCTGTTTTTTATTTATTTGCTTTGCTTCAAGATTTGTATACCTTTCTTAACTGGCTTTATGCCTCTGTATTGTCATCTTGACTTTCAGCCTTTTTGAACCTTTGAAATATATATATATATATATATATGTGTGTGTGTGTGTTTGATATTCCTTTTGGCCTAGATATTGCAGTGCACATCTCAAATTCAATAAATAAAATAAAATAAAATAAAAAGCAACTACAGGAAGAAACTTCCAAACACCTATGGAACATTTTCTTTAATGGTGTTTCATGGCGGCAAAGAGCTCTTCAGAAAGCGTCTTATCCAGATTCCAACCCCTTCATCCACCGTTTTCTACAACTTCAAATTAAATATGTCTCCAACATTTTGAAAAGAGAAGCTCAACAATTGTGACCAATTTAACAAAATTTTATTTCCATTTCTTGTGAAACTAGTGCACTGAATGTAGGTAGGAGAATTATTAGTAATTGATAATATAGAGATAGTTGAAGGCTTACCTTACAATAACTAATTTATTTGTATTTCAACAAATCTACAAATTTTAATTAAATTCAAATATACTTTCCCTTAATTTAAACTGTTACATTACTGAAGTAAGTAGGCTTCACGCCATTCACAATTTTTATCAACGACAATAGCTACTCGTTGCTTCGAATTCTCCATCTGCATCCTTTCTTTCATTCTTATTAATGGTGGGAGCCCTTGGCTTTGTTACGCCAAATTTGAAATTTCAAGCTTGCCTTACACACCTGCATGCATAAATTTATGTCACGCTGACAAGATAAACAAACAAATAGTGTTTTCATTTTAATATTCCAAAACTGATGATCACTTTCACCTTTGAAACTAGAAACTAGAAACAATTACCTTAGACTGACTTCAGTCCTGGTTCAGATGCCACTGTTGGCAGCCCCATTTCACTTGTTTTTTTTTTTTTTTTAAATCGAATAAGAGAATATACATAAAAATAAAACAGGGCTATTTTATTAATGGAAATCAGATTACATGGCTTCCTTAAATAGACAGAGAGGACAACTAATTGATAAACTAGATAGTTGAAGACTTGTCCTATCATAGCCAATTTTTTTTTTTTTTTGTAATTTAAATTTCATAAATAAATTATAAAAAAAAAACACTATATCTGGCAAAGCTTCCCCTGAATGGATATATCAGGCAAAAGTCAATCAGAATAAGGAAAAACCAAACGTTTGACAAACATTATAAAACTGTACCAACTTCCCACTCAAACAGGAAACCCAAGATTCAACAGCAATAAGATAAAAGCCCTTGCCAAATTTTCAGAGCTAGAATCCAATATCGATCAACATCAGTACTACAATATTATAGTTATAAAAGACAGTATACCCCGCATAATGCACTTTTTATTACCCTTAATGTGAACTTACAACTATAACAAACCAAAAGGCTCAAAATCACAAAGCAATATTTTACTTGTAAAATATGAAATGAATAAATGTCTTATGGTAAGAGCAGAGCTAATTATTATTCGAATTTACTCCACATAATGCACTTTATATTACCTTAATGTACACATAAAACTACTATTATAAACCAAAAGGCTCATAATCATAAACCCATATTTTATGCAATGAAGAAATGTCATATGGTAACTGTACAACTAATTATTACTTAAATTTATTAAATAAGAGAAAATATGAATGCATATCACCAGGAAGAAGGGAAGGATCACTCTGGGTGCAGCTGACCGAGACAAAACACCAGTTTATTCCGAGGAGGGGGTTGTATTTCTCTTGGTCAGAAAATCATACTCAAAATATTTATGGAAGAAACAACTCAAGTCTGTTGGTTTGACTAAAGATTCTATGATGTTCATCAATCTCTTTTCATCTGGGCATTGAACCATCAAATTTGACAGGTGAAAATTCTAAACACGCTCAAGGCAGAAATAATGTCCGCTTCCATTTAATAGAATAGATCACACCTGTGTAAAGTTGGAGAGATGCAAACGGGGACAAGTTAAAATCGTCAAGGGGCGGCAGTACAATCTCAAGGATCAGAAATATTGATTGCACCAATACAAGAACATATGATTCTGTGTTAAAAGGGAACTACTACAAATGCAAATGACAGGCCTAAAAAAATCCTCTCTAGATGAGGGCAAACTCACAACAGATATGGAGCTAGAGACAGCCGATGGCAAAGAAAAATTCATTTAACCCACAAAAATTGGCGACAAAGGCTTTTCCGAGTTGAGTTGGTGAACCATTAAAAACAAACAGAACTGACAATAATCTCCGAAGAATGTAAATCCAATTATGAAAGATGAAAACTTGGCTAAAGGCCAGCCCTTAATGCATTCTTGCCATGACAAATGCAAAAGATGGTGGAATTACGCAACAAGGAGCACAAAGATAAATGGTGAAAGATATTATGGACTCAAGTCCTACAAGTGCTCTGTCAGCTTCTGCAAGGCAACCACACGCACTCTAGGAATTGTGAGCATGTTGCCTTCTTCTTTATGGGCTTGGCCGAAGAGGAAAGACGCGGAGGCCATCTGCCCAAACTTTTATTTGGAGCAGTACAACAGGAAAGATGGGAGGCATGTTATCAAATTAGTATTGTCGTCAATTAAAAAATCATAAACAACAGGCACCAAAGAAAATCCATATATATCAGCAAAGTTTGGGAGAAATGTAAGGGAAAATAAAAGAAAGATTAATTTTACCATGCATTCTCTTGATGAATCGTTCAAACTCCATGAAGTTGTGTCTGTCCGTGAGATCTGGGCTCAGCCTGCGGTAGGTAAAAGCAGATAAATGCCACCCAACTGGATCATTCAGGGGCTTGGCATTTTCCAATATCTTATTATAGTCTTCTCTATCATAGCAAGGAAGAACATTCTCACTTGCAAATGGTATGCTAGCATCCCATGCATCATACAATACCTGAAAAGTAAAGCAAATATAAAACAATTATGAGTCACAGCAGGGATGAGTAATAGCATATCCATAGTCCTTATTCAACACATTCGATTATGTGATCCTAATCTAGTACAATTCAATAGAATTGTTTGTTGTAAAAAGTAAATAGAACATTAATAAAAATAGGAAGGCATAATTAGCTTCGGTTAGAAATACTGATCAATCGTGACCTAGCCAACAAAATTTGGACATAAACTGGAACAGGATTTTTGAATCGAACCTATTTTCAGTGCAACCATTTTTTACATCTTGTTGCACCAAATATATAATTCATTTTCTAAAAAGAATACCCTTTTGACCAAGGCAAATTTATGCATCTAGGTTATCATAACTTAATTCGTAGTTGCTTACCTGCCAAACTAATCCCTTAGGGTCGCTCAGTACCTCTGGAAAGTCCTTACGTTGGTCGAATGTGCGCAGCTCAACACATGTGAAATTTAGAGCAGCCCCGTGCTTCTTTAACATTGCAACAATTGGAGCATAACCATTGCAATTGCATCAGTTGTAAAACCCAGCAGTCAATTCTGGAGCGTGACTAGCTGTTTTGTACCACCAATGAATACCAGGTAGCTGCTCATCAATCAAAAAGGATTACAAAACAACAATTTGATTGAAACTTTCACTGTGTCACCTTTCTCATATAAAACATGACTCACCTTTGCAGCAATGCAAGTGCCTTCAAAAGCCAAATTTGCCAGAGTAAGTACCCGGTCACCATGATCAAGAAGAACTTGGGTGTACCATTTAAGGAAGAACATGCCATAGTAGCTACCATAATCACCTCCGTCGCAAAAGAAGCTGGTTTCATGTGGTCTGGAATTGTAAGAACCAGCATTATTTGGTCCTCTACCCAAAAGGGATTCTCCGCTACCTTCTGCTGCCTTCTTCAGACTTTTCAACAAGTACTGATCGTAACACTGTAAGTGAAAAAAAGAGTGGTGTAAATGCATTAAAGAATCACAAAGTATAGATGGAAATGACACAACAAAGGTGCTCAATGCTAATGGGACAGATTCAACTATCAAAAAACTGTTAAAAGATCAAATCGCTTCCCAAAACGTGAAAACGGCCCCACGTCAAGTCCTTCTAGTGAAAGATATTTGCCACTATTTATTCAGACTGTACCTGGAATTCACCAATACCAGGATATTTCCAACCATGTTTTGCAGGATAAGAAGGGAAACGTAGCTCCCCAGAAGGACCCAATCCAATTTCAATCTCAGATATGACTCCATCCTCAAAGAACTCATCAAATTCAACCCGGAAATTTCTCATGTAGTCAAAGTAAACCTACATCATAACAAAAGAAGTAAATAATACATCAAAAGATAAATAATTTATTAGTTAATTTGTGCATCAAAGAATAAACAACTTTCTGAATGACCACTTCAAGAATGAGAAGATGACGAAATAAAATTCAAATTTTCTAATCAAAATACTTTCAAACCTGAGTTTCAAAAACTTAAAGTGGAAGGTGTAGTTCTGGTTCAGTAGGCATTGCTTATTACTAGCAAAATATGGT